TCGCGCCACTTAAGAGCTGTGCTTGCAAGGGAGATTTAAAAACGACTCAGAAAAGAGCAAACCACGTGGGCAGAGACTACGCAGGCCTGTGGAGTTTAAATCCACGTGGGGACGCAGACGATAGGGTGCGTGGGGACTGGAAGTATTAAGCTGCTGGCTCCACGCACAAGATACAGGCCACAAGGCCGCCGCCAACAAGGCCGCGGCTGAGGAAGGAAGGCTCGTGCCAAGCTGAACTCACGGCCAGCAGCCAAGCGGGGGAAGGAGAGGTCCTAACACCAAACGTTGGGTGCCAACTGAAGGTGTAAGTCATAAACAGTGCCACACCAGTTTGGAATTATGATTAATAGGGTGGTATTTATTTAAAGGGGAAAAAACCTACAGATCACTGTCCCAGACAACAGCCCTCTATGCAACCAGGAAGGGAGTCTAGTCGCCTGCGGAGCAGGAAGTGAAGAGAGAGAGGAGAGGGAAGTGGCCGCTTTTTTAAAGGGAGAGAGACCACGCCCCAATGGGCTATAGGCTGGAGGAGTGGGAGGACCTCCCGCAATGTGAGGGTGACCATGACCTGCCCTTGACCTTTAGGACACAGCCTGGAACCTGGAGATAGCAAGAAAGACCTCTCATATTCCAGGAACCATAGCTCTCTCTGGTGTCTAGCTATCCCCTCAGATTGGTGTGTACCAGATGAAACACCACCATTCTCCCCGGAGAGGTCTCCCTTGGTTCCTTGATTTATCTGTAGGTGGGACTGGGTGAGTATGGATAAAAGACCTCTGGTTACCTGAAAGCACCTTAGCTAGATCACCACACACGCCACCACCTAGTCACTAATGTGGGCAGCAAAACAAATCAGACAACTGCAGAACCCAAAGCCATCTCTTAGCGGTTTAGGAATGCAGCCTAGGGTCAGGGAAGGAAGGCGTGCACACAGGCACCTAGATAACCCCCTAAAATGGGCCACGGGACTCTGAATGGTTCAGTGGTCATTCTTGGTGGTCAGTCCAACAAGGGACTGCTACATCTGCCAAGGGACTGGAGCCGGTCCGCGGAATGACTTTTTGAGGAGTGGACAGGATTGAGTGAACCAGGCAAAGAGCAACTGAGTAGCAGTGGGAAGCTTTCTTCCTTAGGGCCCGGGGCATAGGGAGAGGAGAAATAGTGCACCTAAGAGCCGGGGCTAAGGATGGAGAGAGACTGTGCCCTTCGGGGGAGAAGTGTAGCCAGGGATGGTGGAAGAGTTCCAGGGTCTGGTATCAATACTTCATCCTCTCGATAATCCCTGATTGTAGGTGCCTCCTGTTGGCCAACTCAGCCAGAAGATCAAGAGCAAGCTGCTGAGGGAGGCAGTCTCAGGACAGAGAGAAAGGAGGAAGGGGCAGAGGCTAGAGAGGCCAATGGGAGTCATCAGGTCTCCACCAAGCAAGAGTTAGTCAGCTGCTGTGTTCCAGATGCTGCAGCCAGGGTCAGGCAAGCCAGAAATCACTGTACGTATCGTGACCCTGCTATCAAAGCAATCTCTAAATAAATAATCATCAAAATGTAAATATTGATTCTTGCTTCAGAATTCTCCGAGTGGTACTGGGTTGCGAGGTTGGGGTTCAGACACCCTACACCCCAGGTCAGCTAGTCTGTCCCGGCCAGCACAGTAGAAATTCACCAGCTATGTTAAGGCTTTAATTCAGCACCAGAGGTGCTACTGACCAGGATCTTTCCCAGAATTCCTTCTCATAAGAGACAACGGGAAGGACATGGGGGTGGGGTTATCTATAGGAAGTGTTGCTGAAATTGCCAGTCAGCGGATCAGAGACAAGATCATGCCAGTGAGTAGCTGGGCCTGACCACAGTCACATTTGGCTGGGCCCAGAAGTTGCTCAGCACGCATTCAGAGGAAGTGGTGCCTGATGATGTCACAGTGCACAGAAAGCCACACGGTTGCCTGTGCTGTCCCAGTGCCGCCCGCACTCCCAGAGTGATGCCTCTCTCTCCTGTTGTACAGTGACCACTCAATGGAGCATCTGCCCCTCATCCTGCCTTCTGCTGAACCCTGAGAAATGATCCCAAGGCTTGAGCCAGCCTTCCTTCCTCCCTCAGCCTGAGCTCTTAGCTCTGCTCCTCTCCTGCACAGCAGAGACTGGAATCAAGGGCCTTCAGTTGAATACTGGCCAGTCTGCAGTGACCACAGGCTGTCCCTAAGCTGACTGCCTAGCTACGGCAGAACCTGGGGAAAGGAAAGGATATCTGAGGGCTGCCAAAGCTAGAAGATGCCAAATTGGGCTACTTTCCCTACGCCCCACTTGCCCTGGCAACAGCGCTTGGTTGTGTTAGCTCTTCAGAGCCTCTGCCCATGTTCCATCATTGTGCCAAGTCAGAACTTGGTCCGCAGGCTGCCACGGACACTGTGAAGGTCACCCAGGTGGAAGTAGGCAGGCTTCCATTTACCCTCTACCCCGCAGGCCTCCCTGGGGTTCGCCTGTTTACAGGATGTAGTTGGGGTTCCAGGGTGACATTTTAAAACTGCTCTGGAATTGCATTTTTATTTATGCCAGTAGGCTTAACTTTTGTAATTTTTTTCTTTTTTTTTTTTTGAAAGATTTTGTGACTTTGTTTTATTAAGTATTTTAATATGCATATACAGACATGCATTTAGACCAAAACTGATGCCATGTTTCCTCCTCTTTCATTTCATTTCTCCCCACTCCCCAACTTTTCCCTCCCATTTTCGAGTCCCCCTCCCCTTTCTCCTTCCTTAATACTCACTAAGTCTACTTACTGTGGCCTGTATGAGCATTTGCTAGACATGGTGGCATAGTTACACACATGAACTCAGAATGTCTGGGAGTGTGCACAAAATCAAACCAGACAAAAATCCCAGCAAGGAAGGAGGAGGAACTGATGAAGCTCCACCTCTCCGTTGAGGAGATAGTGGCAGTTTGTAGCCACTGGGAAAGGGAGAGCAGCTTTTATATTTTTTAAAATCCTAACTTTGACACAAAACACTTTTAATCTAACAATTTTGAAATATCATTTCTTCTTTAGGGTGTAGCTTAACTAATTCACATCTGGGAAGCTGCTCTTTCTCACGGTCAAGTCTTGTGTCATTTGCCATGGAAATGGGTCGGTAAAATGCTAGTCTATGTTCAACCTCTTGAGGCCAATAACCAGCACTGAATTCACAAGGTTTCACTGGAATGGGTTGTGTGGGGTTGAGACAAGCGTTTTGGTTTCAAATACGGCTAACCTGTCCCCCAGCTGTTCTGGAACAAAGCCCAACTCTTGCCATATCTACCACCCAGAGAATAAGATGCTGGTGGTGCCTTAGAAACATCACTGGAAACACTCTGTGCTTAGCAAGAACCACATCTGTGGGAGCATTTGGGAATACCTTCAAGGCAACTGGGGTGGGGAGCATGGGGTGTGCTCTTTCTTGGGTATCACTATAAAACTACAGACATTCCTGATTTCTCTTGTGTCATTTAGGTTCAGTGCCTGCTCAAAAGGGGATCCACCATCACCCAGGTGTTCCTGTCCCGCCATGACTGACTGTACAGTAATTGTCAAAAGCAGTGGGTGCTGGAATGATGGCTCAGTGGTTAAGACTGCTTGCTGTTCTTGCAGCAGGCCAGAGTTCAGTTCCCAGTATCCATATTGGGGTACTCACAACTGCCACAACTCCAATTCCAGAGCATCTGATGCCATCTTCTGGCCTCAGAACAACCCTGACACATACACACACACACACACACACACACACACACACACACACACACACTTAAAAAATTACTGTTGCATGTAAGAACATGGGAGAATCTCAAAGATGCCTTCTGAGAGGAATAAAAGACAGAGATCATCACAGATGTCGTAACAGAACCACCACAGGCACCGCTAGCCAAAGGGAATCTTGACCCAAATGTATCCACAGCAGCATGCATGCCCCAGAACTCTCTGCTAAGTTTAACTAAAGATCTGTGTCCTTCAGTGTGTCCATGCGATATATCCACCTAGAACATAGCAGGGTGACACCTGGCTGTTCCCAGGATTGCTTCTTAGCTGTGAAGGACAGAAAACACTTCTGCTTCTTATCTGTGGGCCAAAGTACAGTTAGCAGCTCACAGGTGCTCTGCAAACAGACAAGGTTATTTCTAAACTAACCCAGCTGGGAACAAAGACACCAGTGTGGCTCTCTCCACCCCCCTTCTGGGCCTTTCCTGTCTCTTTCTGGGTTCACTAGGGTGGAAGACTGTGGGCCACCCACCCCACCTCTCAAGTGACCAAGGCATGTGTCTTCACAACTACTTTAAATTGAAGAGCAAGTCCGAGGACACCCACTCCTGGGACTGTTAAAAACAACAGAGTAGCAATGTGATTGGAGACCGTGTGTCTGGAGGGACTGTGATGCCAACTATACAGGTAGAGCCAGGGAGGAGGGGGTGTATCTTCTTCCCTGTTCTTATTTTAGAAGCAGTATTTTGGCAACTGAACATGTTGACTCAGAAAGAACCACAGAATCCGTTCTTTCTCATAACCCATCCCTGTTTCTTTCCCTTGAGTTTCTCTTCATAACAGCCCTGCTCCATAGACCGTGCTGGTCCCTGTGTTTATGATAACTGGGGTTCGGGGCACTCAGATGCAACCTCCTGTCCTGGAATTTCTTCAACAGAGTCCAAAAGATAAAGCAAGTTTGTGGAAGATCATGTCCTCTGATCATGGCTATATATCCCCTGTAACACAGTAAGTCACAGTGCCACCTAAACAAGGACAGAAGTGGGGACTGGCGCCAAAAGGGAGGTGGCTTCAGGAGAAGACTCGGCCCAAGATCCCAGGGTGGTGTGGTCTGGCTCACTATACCCTGGGAGGCCTCAGCTTCTGGTCCCGCCCTCCAGAGATATCTTCATCTATATAGTCCAGGCTGCTGGGCTTCTAGTGGCTCACCTTCCCGGGTACACTTGAGAGGTGCCACCTCTTTGAGCCCTGCCCCTGCTGGCCTCATCCCTGTGCCTGTGGGTGTCAGTAAATACCTGTTTCCACCGGGGGAGATGTTGCTCTGCTGGACCATCGGCCTTCTGGTGGCCACCGTCACAGGTGAGGATGCTATCGCCATCCTGGAGAGGAACAGTTGAGGGTGGAGACTGAGTAAACCGCATGCCTGTGCTGGTGGGCCTAGGCACGTCGTAGGTACTTAACGTGAAGAGTGGCGTCACTCGCGCTAAGTAGCAGCTCCCAGGGCTGTTTTGTTACAGGTAACTGTGTCTTGAATTTGCCTGGTAAGACTGCTTATTAAATATTCTGTAGTAGGGTCAACCTAGAACCGTTAACGTCAGACTCTCTGAGGGGGAAGCCTGGAAGTGTGAATTTGTCAGATGCACCCACATCCAGACGTCTCTTACAGGCACAGGAGTTCTGGTACCTAACAAGATGACCAGTCTGGCCAGGGTCCACCCTTCCTGTGGCAGATGACATTATGTCTTCCCGGAACCTCATGTCTGTCCTGTTTGTGGTTATTCCTGCACCAGGGAAAGAGGTTTGCTATGGACATCTGGGCTGCTTTTCCAATGAGAAGCCATGGGCAGGGATGCTTCAGCGGCCTTCGACGGCACTACCTTGGTCCCCAGAGGACATCGATACCAAATTTCTTCTGTACACAAATGAAAATCCAAACAACTACCAAGTAAGTGTAGGCATAGGGTGGCTGGGCTGGATGACGGTCAGTTTGGACCACATGCTGGGGCCCTTGAGTAGCTAGCTAGGGCAGAATTGGCACTTTGGAACAGTTCTTGGATGTGGGAGTTCCTGATTCTAAGAGTCATAACCCCTGAGCATCAGAGAGAATATAGGAATAAAATCCAAAAATGTACATACAGTTACATATTAGTGTATAGGTCTCCAGGTCCACCCTAGGACTGTGTCCCAAGAAGAGCAATGGTGACATTTACGGAGAATAAATGGATAACCCAACTACATCCTCCGTCACTTTCTCATCATGGCAATGGGGCAATCACATATACAAAACAAGAATCCACAAGACAGGAAAGGACAGAGTACAGTTAACCACAAAGGATTTGAAAATACGAGATCCCTGGGGTGACTTTCAGAACAGGCCTGCCCCAGGTGGTCAGGTGACCAGAGAGGTTTTCAATGATGTCTTTGGTATGAGTTCAAGTAGTTCAAGCTTTGGTCCCTAGCATGCGGGTCTGCCTCTAGGTACCTGGGCCACCCACTCTAGGACTTGGTTCCTCCAGCCGGGAAGCTGTGTAGACCCCAGCAGCCATTACCACCGTTAATGTCCTATCCTTCTAGCATGTGCTGGCAGAAGGGTCCTAAGAAAGTCTGTGGGCATGGGGGAGTCTGCTCTAAAGTATCAGGCTCCCCAGAACTGGAGTTCAGGCTTGTGGTGTCCAGTCAAGAATTTCCTACCTTCCCCGAGCCAGGAATCTATTTAGCTACTGGAGGAAGCCTAAAGGCCGTTCTCAGGATAATATCCCAAATAAATGATATAAAAGTTAATGGGCTGCAAAGGAAACCAATTTGATTGAAAACAATTATCAGAATATGAATAAAATAGAAAATAAGAAGCATAGTATTAAATATGCTATTTTATCATCTCAATAAAGATTGCTCTAAAAACTCCTGTAACTAAGTGGTAATAATTAGAAATGATACCAAGCAGCATGAAGATACCTGTGACTTTGAGGAACTGAGTCACAGCTACTGCTAATCCCACGGTAGCGTCTTGCCTGAGCCACGCTTGACAGAAACACTTAGATTTAGGTTCAAGGTTCAGGAAAACAGGAAGTCAGTGAGCTTGTACTTTCTGTATTCACGGAACTCAGCTCGGTGGTTCTGAGCCTGGGATCTCGGTCTCACTGGCCTGTTTGTCTGTCACTAGCCTGCAGATGGGCCAGACCAATAGCCAAACTCATCTTGTCTAATTAAACCAGGAGATCTCTGCCACTGACCCAGCCACCATCAAGGCTTCCAGCTTCCAACTGGACCGCAAGACACGTTTAGTCATCCATGGCTTCACAGACAAGGGAGAGGGTAGCTGGCCGGTTGACATATGCAAGGTGATGATCCGTCCTCCTCCCCCGAACCCCACACTCAGTGCCCCCGACACCACGAAAGGAAATGTTCAAAGAAACACTATTAAGGAATGCTCACTTCTCTCCTCCAATGCCACTGCCGCGCTCTCCGACGGTTGCTAGTACACTCGACACACCAGCTGAAATTCTGTCTTGACTCGTGTGCAGCAGTAACTTGAACAAACATATTGTCCTCTTAAGCTCTGGTAGCTCACGGAATGTTCTGTGGTGACAGACATGGTCTGTGTCTGTGCCCCTGGCCACATGCAGGTTTGGAGCCTTTGAGATGGGCTAGCGTACCCGATGAAATGCATTGTGAGTTTCACAGCCTAAGAATTTGTTTTTCTCTGACCAGGTCGTTTATTTGGACCTGACTTTGAGCCCCAAGGCTAGGAACTCATCCCCTCGGGACTCAGTTTCCACATCTTTTAAGTAAGATGAGCATACCCAGTTCACAGCGCGACCCTCAGGGTCAACTGTGATGGCAGGCGGGAAACTGAGATGCTGGCAAGACCCAAGTGCTTTATGGAGGTGAATTCCTATCTCTGGGGTGTGCGACCTGGCCTGTTTATGAAGTTTGTTCTCTCTATTTCTTTCTTTTCCCTAGAGTATGTTTCAAGTGGAGAAAGTGAACTGTATTTGCGTCGATTGGAGGCACGGCGCCAAGGCCGAATACACCCAAGCCGCCTACAACACTCGGGTTGTGGGCGCTGAGATTGCTTACTTAGTACAAGTACTGTCGGTAAGGTCCCGGTGGGACCAAGTCTGGGGGAGAGTTAGAGAGAAGGCCAGAGTTAGGTACAAGCAGGACTTGAGAGGGGCGGGGCTAGAGAGGGGCGGAGAAGGTTGCTGGGACCAAGTGCAGGGCTGGAGCGACAGATTGATCAAGCAAACCAAATTCTCAACGCCCCTCCAGAGGTGAAGCAACAACCTTACTCCCTGCTGACTGTCCACAGTGCCCGAGCTGTGGACCTGGGAGCCTCAGTTTCCCCTTTTGACCTAAGGCTTTCTTTGCAAGCTGTTCTGGGAACTGAAAGCAGACCGGGACGGTGTAAGAAAGCTTTTGAGTTTCACACTTTATATGCGAGAGGGGTGGGGTGGGGACTTACACTTGGCTCCCTCTCTTCCCTGCTGTAAGTTCCAGAAGGTCCAAGTTCCGCTTTCGCAGCGCCCAGTCCTCTATAACCAGGGCGAAGGCCTCCCTGGCGACACCAGGTGGCAGCAGCAGCCTGAGAGGCGGCCTGCAGTTAGTGTGGTGGCCACTGGCCAGCACTGTTGCCGCACTGAAGAGCAGAGAACCGTCCCCACGGGCCTAACAGACTGCAGTATGACCTGGCCAAGCAGTCCCTGATGGAAGGCTCAATCCCCTGAAGTCTCCAGCTCCAAAGAGCCCAATCCTCTGGCAAAGACCAGCCTCTACTCCCCAACCTTCTCGTTCCCACGTGGTTCTTGGGAACCTAACGTGGAAATCTCTTTCCACAGACAGAGCTGAATTACAGCCCAGAGAATGTGCATCTCATCGGCCACAGTCTGGGATCACACGTGGCTGGGGAAGCAGGCAGGAGACTTGAGGGTCGCTTGGGCAGGATCACAGGTAAGAGTCCTGAGAGCCAATTTGGGGTCCAAGGGCCAGGGAAGTAAGTAGGGGAAGCCTCTACCAGTGTCTGTCCCACGCACAGGACACCCCTCCTGCTTTCCTGACATTACGTGATATCCTGACTCAAAACGACTTGGCCTTGTTTTTTAATGCCTATTAGAAAATCCACAGTCATAGATAAAAATGTGTTTCCGAAACAAGAAAAATATAACCAGGTTCAGGCTTATAAAAACTAATTTTGGGGACATTACTGGTAGTGATTTTTTAAAATGTATCTGTTCCACTCACTCCTTGAATGTTTTTGCTCAGTCAGGCACAGCCAGTTAGAGACAAATCACTTAGGAAATGCTCGGTGAATGAAGGAAACAGACAACGTTCACGAGCACAAGACAGCTGAAACAGTTCCTGCTTTTGTGCCTGCTGAACCTGCCCCGCTCAGGGCACTGGATTGAAGGACAGGAATAGTGTTTTTTATAATCCCGTAGACATTGTCAGTTTGCAGGGGCCTGTCTGTTCCATCTTTTCATGGGATTTTCATAATAAACCCGGAAGAGGGATGGATGGCTCTCTGGATGGGGGCAGACACTTGAACAGAGATATTCTATCTTCTCCTCATCTCGGCTCCTCTCTGAAAATGCTGGGCACAGACTCTGTTTCAGGAAACCCACAGACCCGGCCAGTGTGTAGAAGAAAAATAAATAGACAAATTCAAAGCAGAATTTACGACCACAAAACAATGCTGTGTCTAGGACCCGAGGAGAAATGAAAGTTTCCATGCAAAGGCTGTATTTGAGCCGAGGCTTTAGTGAAGAAAGGGCTAAATAAGGGAAGAATTGTCAAAGGGTCAAAAGACTGGGAGCAGCATGGGTCCCAGGGACTGGGGAACAGCTGAGCAAGGCCATGGAGCTTGTGATCAGAAAAGGGGAAGTGAGAGGGATGAGGTCCCACCCAGATCTTCCCTGGAGCTAACGCTAGGAGTTTCTGAACCTGCTCTAGGCAACCTTCCTGCTCCCCACTGTCTGCCCTCACTTCTTTCTCTCAAGTAGACCAGGAGCTGCAGCCTCCCAGAAGGGTGATGGATGGGGTATGGAGGGCTTTCTTTCCCTGGCATCCTTACTTCAGACTGTGGACTTGTCTTTTGTGGGGTACGATTGTTCTGCCGCCATTCTACCCTTCAGGACTGGACCCTGCGGAGCCCTGTTTCCAAGGCCTGCCAGAGGAAGTCCGGCTGGACCCATCAGATGCCATGTTTGTAGATGTGATTCACACAGATAGTAAACCCATGATTCCCAACCTAGGTGAGTTCTTCACTCCCAATTCCTCATGACCAGTGACTGATGTCATCATGTCCAGGGGACACCCCCACTGACCACCCACACAGCTGCAGAGAGAAGATTCAGCATGAATAGCTACAATGCACCTTAGGCCCCAATCAGTAACTATGGATACCAGCCACAACAATCACCCAGTACAATGATGCTGACATGGAGTCTGCAATCCCAAGCCAAACCAAAAACTCTTCTATAGCCTAGGGAGGTGATGACACATCCATCCCTGCATCTCTCCCTACATCCAAAGTAGTACATGTTTTCACTTGACCTGACTGTAAAGTTTTTAGACTTAATTTTTTTATTTAAAAAAAATGCCAAAGCTTTGGTTACAGTTTGTCCTGTTGGAACCACATCCTTGTTGTGTTAAATGCTTCTAAAACCAGTGCTTTGTATCAGATAACCATTTAAGAAACACACAAGGCGTGCTTTAGCAACAGGGACCAAGACGATGACAGAGATAGCATTTACCGGGTACCTAACATGTGCTGCCCTGAGCATCGTGCACAAGACAGCTTATGACACAGCCCCATGAAAGGGACATTGTCACCACCTCACAGCTAAGGAGACTCGCTAGCTGATCAGTGGAACCAGGGTTTGAGCACAGGTCTGTGCACCTCAAAACTCTAATGCGCCTTCCCGAAGAACCTCCGCAGCTTTGCGACAGCAATACAGTCTAGAAGATTTGAGATGGTGTTCAGTTTTAGAGAATTTCTGCCATAGGCTCACTGTGATCACAAGCATAAGACACCACAGTGAGGGAGGGCTTGCTTAGTGTTGCAAGGACGTACCACCCTAGCAGAAGACCTGAGTCTGGTTCCTAGCACTCATGCTGGGTAGCTCACAGTGGTCTGTAACTCTACCTCTGGCTTCTGAGAGCACCTGCACTCGAGTGCATGTATCTACACATGGACACTCAACACACACATAATCTAAACATACATAATGCAGAGACCAAATATTTAAACAAATAATGTAATATACACGCTACTAGATACGTGCTAACTAGATGCATGCTTCTGATCTTGGACTTACCAATATTGTCCAGGGCCTCTCTAGAGTAGGCAGATGGGCATATCCACATATCCACAGATAGATACACGTGCTCATCCTCTCCCTCCTCGTCTCCTGTGTTCCTTCCTCCTTGCCCTGCCAGTTGCCCTCCTGAGAACTGTTTGTAGAGAGAACTGATGTGGCGAAGGAGAAAACTGCCAAGGCCCATGCTTCCGTTTGAATGTACCGATGTGAGGTACAGATGTGACCTTGGGACCGTGTACACCCCTGATCATTCTGCTTCAAATGTTTCAGGTTTTGGGATGAGCCAGAAGGTGGGCCATCTGGATTTCTTTCCAAACGGAGGGAAGGAAATGCCTGGATGTAAGAAAAACACCCTTTCCACCATTGTTGATGTAAACAGAATATGGCAAGGTAGGTGTGTGAATGAACTGAACAGGTATTAGAAGAAGCTGCTTCTTCGTCCGGGCCGCCCAGCCACGAAATAACGAAAACCATATTATTTGCAATACTGTTTGGCTAATAGCTTAAGTGTATTTCTGGCTAAACTCATATCCTAAACTAACCCATCTCTATTATTCTGCGTATCACCATGTGGCTGTGGCTTACCAGCTAAAGTTCCCAGCATCTGTCTCCAGGGGCTCCATGGCTTCTCTCTGGCTCTGCCTTTCTTTCTCCCAGCGTACAGCCTAACTTTCCCAGCTAGTTCTGTTCTTCCCTGCCATAGGTTCAAAGCAGTTTCTTTATTCATTAACCAATAAAAGCAGCACACAGACAGAAGACCCTCCCACACCAAAGGGGTAACTGCGAGTTGGGGACGGAAGCAGAATGTATGAGTCTGGCCACCATAGTGATCACCTTGCTGCCGTCTATCACGGGCTTGCTCCGAGTCAGGTGTTCATAACACTGTGAGATATTTGGCCCTGCTTCATACATGCAGACACATGGCATCTGGAAATCTACATACTTTGTTCAAGGCTATGCGATATATAAGCCTGGCCTCTTACTGGAAGGCTCTGAGCTCATATCTCAGCTGCCAGACTAGCAGGATAAGGTGGACACAGTGGCAAACCCCCAGCTCTGGCTTCGCCCCCACCCCCATCACATCCTCAGCTCCTGCTCGTTGAAAGACAGCAGAGCACCCACAGGCGGTGGAGGTTCTGCCTTTCTTGTAATTGGCTGTGTCGGGTAGGAGACTGAGGTAGCTGGCTAGAAGAAGATGCACCCTGAGGAACTGGGAGTGTTCATGGGCAGGGAGGCCTGAACTGCTAGCCACAGTGTGGCCTCCTGAAGCCTGTGTGTAATTGTGTTCATCTGGAGAGCAGGACTTAAACCCTTAATCATAAGCTACATCCCAGAGCCATTGATATGACAGCTGCTTGCTCTCTTTGTCCCTCTTCCGAGACCAGAATCACTGTCCTCTCTGAGACAGGGGCGTTGGGATCAGTAATTATTTTTTTGTTATTATTTTTCTGAACTGGAAGCTCCATGTGGCTAGGTCTTAGAGAACCCCGACCCCATCACCCCAGAACCTGGCCCTGACCTGAAGCAAGCAGCAAGCATATGCTGTTGAGGAGTTTGTGGTAGTTTTTTTAATGCCCCATGTGCAAGTAGTCTGGATAAAGCGACATCCAGCACCTCGTGAGAAATAAACAGAGCTTTCGACCTCTTGGCCCCTTATCTAGTAACTCATGGGGGGACTGGCTATTCTCCCCCTAAAGAAGCCTGAGCCATAATAACAGCTGCCCCATCCCAGAAGTGACGAGCAGGGCACACACAATAGCAGAGAACCCAGGTTTAATTAAAGAGGCAATTTAGAGTGAACCAGTCATGAGCACTGGTGTGTGTTTCTATTGTATGCCACGCAAGTCACGCAGGCACTGGGCACAGGGAACAATTGAACACACTTTCTCCTCTATTATGGGATCCCTGAGCAGCAATTTTGGATGAAAGAAACAATTAAGTTTAAAGCAGGTTCTGTTGTCTACTGAGGGGCACTGGTGTGAGCACTCTGAACAGGATGATGGGCTGTAAGCACGGCAGGCAGGGCTAGGAGCCGAGAGGGCAAAGCTACCCCACCCACAAAGGTCCTTTCATGATGAGGGACTCCCATAACGGTCTTGTTAGATTCCTCCATGGGAAGTTTTATGTTAAGTAACTGGAGAAATGAAAAGTGATTTTCCCAACAAAGCATCGTTGGTCAAAGTAGGAGGTGGTACACTGGGATCACCTGAGCTCGGGCTAGCTTGGAGAAGGAGTCACTCAGCCTAACTCAGCCTTAACGGTGAGACCTGAAAAGGGTTGGCCCCCAGGAAAGGCTGAACACCCTCATGGCTGCTACGCAGTGGTGTTCTGGAAATGCTGACCAGAAATCAGCACACACTTGGTACAAACATAACCATCGAAGACCTAGCAGCATGGTCCAGTCATGGTCGGCTGAACCCAAGGGTGTAGCATTCAGGGACAATGAAGATCACCTGTTGACTATCTCTGTCTCTCTTCTCCCTACTTGCATACCTGTATGTGTGTTCTGTTTTAAAAGCTAAGTCTTTAAAAGCATTTTTAATGGATTGTTCTGTTTTCTCTTTCCATGAATATGCGGACTTGTCTGTGTCTATTTCTTTTTCTGTGTGTCTGTCTCTCTCTCTCTGCCGGTTGGCTCCCCCATCCTTCGGTCATTTCACATACGTCACACACATTTAACAAGCATACTTCTAGGACCTGACACTCCCAGCAGTTGCCTGGCCCCGACTCCTGAGGGGTGGCGGCTGCTCCTTGTGAAGGTGAAGGCCCTTCTCTCATTCCTGTGGCCTTGGTTTTCTCAGGAGTTCAAGACTTTATAGCCTGCAACCACCTGCGGAGCTTCATGTACTACAACAGCAGCATTCTCCACCCGGATGGCTTCCTGGGGTTCCCCTGCAGCTCCTATGAGGAGTTCCAGAAGGTAGGTCACTCCAGGACCCCGGAGACGAGCCTGGTGGCCCTGCTGGTTGTGTTTGTCTCTGTGACATAAATAATGAAAAGATGCCATCGACTCCACAGACATAAACAGGGTTGAGGGGGAGGGGACTGAGGAGGTTTCCAAAACCATCTTTCTCCAGCAGGGAAGTGGACTGAAGAAGAGACCACGTTGCTGGTCTCACTGGACCTCCCCACGGTCCCCAGGTTCTCACTTAGAAAACTCCCAGTCAACAAGCAGGTTGACAGAGGAGCACAAAAGTGCCTGTCACACCTGTCACTTACACACGCCGATTGCTCATGTTTCACACACTAGCATGTATGTGTGTTCTGTACCGTGTGAAAGAGAATCAGAAATATGAGGGCACTGCACTCAGAGATCCTTCGGCATTCGTCTCCGAGAACAAGGCCACCCTCCTATAAAGGGCACTTAAGAAATCCTTCTCTGATGCACTAACATTTTAAATGCACAGCCCGTGGTTGAAACTCCATTTACCTGTGTTAACCTGACACTGTCCATCCGTCCTTCCTTTGTCCCTCATAGCCTTCCCCTATTCCTTCCATCTTCCTACTTCCTTCACCCCAGCTCTCCTCCGCTCCTCCCTGTCTCTCCTTCTTCCCTCTGTTTTTCCTCCCCCATCCCTTTTCTTTCTGCATTGCATTTATTGTCATGTCTCTTTCCCCTCTGATTCTGTACAGTTCACCATCTTCCCTCAGTCTCCCAGGACACAGATAATTCTGAGGATTCAGACAGGGGGGTTGGGAGAATGCTCCATGCTCTCCAATTGCCTCTTCCTTTCTGGTTTTGTGGTTGAGATGGTCCCTTCTTAGTGGATCACAACCAGGAGCATCCGTTCCCCAGTGCTTCCTCTAGTATTTGGTAGCTGAAGTCGATTACCCAGTAAGCTCATGTCTGCTAGATCTCTGTTATAAACACAGTAACCAGTTCTAGACGACCTTTTAGGGATCCCCATTTTCAGCAGTAAACTCGGAAAAAAAATTGTTGACACTCTTCACCCAAATCACTTATTATATCAAGAATTGCAAAACTCTCAGGTTTTTGAAAATATCTTTATCAAGAAAAATATATTTAAATTCTTTTTTTTCCAAAATGTTGACTTTGACATCCTGAGATGTATCAGTTGAAAAGGATCTCATATCTGATCATCATGGTCTGTAATTTCTTAGTGAGTGGCCTTGCCTGCACTGGTTACCGCAGGGGACTGAGCAGTCGTACTGCCTCTAGCATCCGTCTGTCTCTTTCAAATCTTAAACCATGTACTTGGGGTAAGGCATAAGGTCAGAGAACAAAGACAGCGCTCACCTGATTGGAAGGCCCTGTGAGTGAGCAGCTGTCTAAGGAGCACCAGGTGGGATCCAAGTGAGTAAAATCGTTCACGGTGAAGTGCAAGTGATTAAGGATCCTCATTTTTCTTTCATTCTTTCTTTTGTCTTGTTTTGTGATTTTGAGACAGGGTCACCCTATTTGCTCTGGTTGTTCTGGAAGTCAATATATAGACCAGGCTGACCTCGAGTTCAGAGATCTGACTGCAACCACCTCTGTAGTGCTGGGATTAAAGGCATGTGTATCACCATGCCTGGCCCAGATCCTCGTTTTTCTCTGGAAGTAACTTGTTGTCTTCCCAAATGACTTCTCCCTAGAGGCATTATCTCACAGTCCCTTCCTATTTATTTTACATTTTCCTATATGACTTGTCTCCCAGCTATAAGTTTTCAAGGTACACTTTTGGGTCTTCTGCATGATAAAGGATGAAGCCATGTACAATTCTGAGAATGAATGCGTGGGTCCATGGGTCCAAGGATGTATAGATAAATAAATCCAAGCATGTTTGAGCTAGTAGGATGAATAAGTAACCAAGAGGGTGAATAAAAGATTGATAATCAGAAGGATGAATAGAAATAAAAATGAAAATAGACAATAGATAAAAGATAGATCAATAAATCAGTAGTTAAATAATAGGAAGGAAGAAAGAAAGGTAAGAGAGGGAGGGGAAAAGGGAGGGGAGAAAGGAAGGAGAGAGGGAGGGAGAGAGGAAGGAAAGCAGGGAGGGAGGGAGGAAAGAAGGAGTGATCTTGGCAAGATCTCCTGCTAACAAATGATCTCTCCCCGCTAGAATGGCTGCTTCCCTTGTCCAGATGAAGGGTGCCCCCAAATGGGACACTATGCTGATCAATTTAGCGGGAAAACCGCTGCTGTGGAACAAACGTTCTTTCTGAACACAGGAGATACTGAGGACTTTGCTCGTAAGTTCCCATTTCACTTAAAATTTCCTAGAAAATAATTTTAAAAGCACCTGAACTCTGTTAGTGAAACCCCTTGGTCTTAATTAACTGACAAAAACTCAGCTGTCACCAGCTCAAGCAGTAAAATAAGGGTGGCAGAAGAGTCCATGCCTCGGGGCTCATAGTCACTCCCTTAACCAATAACTCCCAGGGGAACTAGAGGAAACGGGGGGACTGAACCACATGTCCACCTTCTCATGACAGAGAAGATGCACGGACTGATGCAAGAAGAGGGCAACTGAGGCAATGTGATTGTAAATCAGAAAAATCAGAGTTGACTACCCTCTGACACCTATCACACACTCACACGCAATGCGTGCAAACACGCATGCATACAAACACACACATGCAAACACACATGCAAACAAACATGCATGCAAACAAACATGCATGCATACAAACATGCATGCATGTACACGCAACACTCCATCGTCATGGGTGTCACTTTGCCCAAATTCTCATTAGAAAACACAAGATCAAACTAATGGAAAAGCCTTTTCTGCAGCAGCTTTAAATTTAAGTGATTATATAGTATACACTTACATTATTTCATGCAATCCCACCTTTATCATAAAACGAATACTCATTAGTACCTATTAAGTATCTGCACATGCACATTCTCTTGACGCCATCACTCTGCTTCTCAGAACATTCTACAGAAACACAGAAGGGCCAAAGAGTCTTACGCATAGGATTGCTTTTAATCAAAAGATTGAGAAGAAAATGTAAGTGTTGACCAATTGGAAAAGAAGATGATGATCAAATACCACGAATAACAAAGCCACCTGCAACCAAGCCTTAGCCAGTTCAGGCAGCTACAGCAGCACTCTTGTAGACTGAGAGCTTTTAAACCTATCTATTCCCCCAAGGTCCTGGAAGCTGAAGTGAGGTGTGCACAGTAGCACAGTCAGGTTCTGCACACAAGCATCTTCCTATTGTATCCTGCCCATGAGTAGGGCACAGAGGGCTGCAGAGCCACCTGAAGTTCCTTTAATCTCATCCATGGGCTTCTGCTCTCAAGACTTATCTCCCAAGTTCCCCTCCCCTAACAGTATGGCATCAGCAGTCCCAGTTAGGGTTCCTGTTGCTGTGATGAACACCATGACCTAAGCAAGCTGGGGAGGAAAGGGTTTATTTGGCTTAGGTTTCCAGGTAACACTCCATCACTGAAGGAACTCAGGACAGGAACTAAGGAAGGGCAAGGACCTGGAGACAGGAGCTGGTGCAGAGGAGGTGGACGGGTGCTGCTTACTGGCTTATTTCCCTGGCTTGCTCAGCCTGCTTTCTTATAGAAGAACCCAGGACCACCAGTTCAGGGATGACACCACCCACAATGGGCTGATTAACCAATCAATCAATCACTAATTTAAAGAATGCCTTACAAATTTATGGAGGCATTTTCTCAACTGAGGTTCCCTCCTTTCAGATAACTAACTCAGTCTGTAGCATGAGTTCTAAAGATAGCCACCACACTAGCTGGTGTCAAGCAGGCATAACTAGTCAGCTCTGTTGACCTCTTGTCAGTTTGACACACAAACACACCACTGTCAAGCCACACCCATTTCTTTCTTGTTCTTTGCGAAGAGCACACATTAATGTCAACATTACAATATAAACATTCCAAATTTTAAAAGTCCCACAGTCTTTATAACAAGTAAAACACCCAAAAATCCAGTCTCTTTAAAATAGTCTCTTTCAAACCTAAAGGCTTTTAAGATTAAAAGCCTCTCAACCATGGGCCCCTGAAAAATCAAAAATAAATACTTCCAGAAGGAAGAACCTGGGCAAACCAAACTCCCACAGTGTAAAAACTCAATGTCCAATCATCTAGGGTTCACTCATGATCTTCTGGGCTCCTCCAAGGGGTCTGAGTCACTGCTCAGCCTCCGTCCCCTGCAGCACACATAGCTTGTCTTCTAGACTCAGTCTGGCATCACTCGATGGTTGCTGCACTTAGCAGTCTCCTGCGGTAGTAGCATCCCCCAAATGCCGGGTCCTCTGCTGTGACTGGGCTGCACTTTCCCCAATAGCCTCTCATAGGCTCTCTCTCCATGACCCCTACAATCCTGGGCTTCCACTGCTACTCCTGTTGCCCCTTCCCCAGTGCCTTCTTCTGGGCTCTCACAGTGCCAAGCCTCTGTGACTCCTTCCAAGCCTCTCCAGGACTCCTTCGTGCCTTCAAAACCGGTACCACCTGGGAGACTCTTACACTACTAAGTTCACCTGTCAGCACAAGGTACCATCTTGGCCACCTCTGAACACACACGACTTCTGCGTGTTGACTCTCAGGAAACAATTCCCCGAAGATTTCCCGTTAATAATGCTGGCCTCTTCTTAATCGTCACCGATTTCTCCACTCCAGCTAAGCAGCACCGAGTACCCCAGTAAATCAAAGGTTTTGCTTCAGTGATCCTGGACTCTTGCTAATCACAGCTGATTCTCCAACCCAGCTGACCAGAACCACGGATTCTTAACTCAGAACAGCACACGGCCCTGACAGAATTGTTAAGGGACTCGCAAAGTTCCCTCTGAAGCTTCACAAGCCTGGCCCCTCATCTGCCCTGCTCTCAATGTTCTCTTCCAAGCTCCTAGAGAGCAGCCTGCGGAGCTCCCAACACTCCGTGGCTCTCCTAGCCCGATGTCCGAAAGTCCTCCCGCAATCCTCCCGAACACATGGTCAGGTCTGTCACAGCAACAACCCACTGGCTTGCTTAGCTTGCTTAGCTTGCTTTCTTATAGAACCCAGGACCAACCACCAGCCCAGGGGTGGCCCCACCCACAGTGGGCTGGGCCCTCCCCCATCATTAATTAAGAAAATGTTCTACAGGCTTGCCTACAGCCCGATCTTATGGAGGCATTTTCTCAATTGAAGTTCCCACCTTTAAGATAACTCTAGCTGGGTCATGTTGACACAAAACTAGTCGTCGCAAACAGGACCTCAATATACAAATTGGGATGGAGGAGGGGGACTTTCTCCTGTATCCACTGGGGATGTGTGTAGCAATAGACTGTCCTTCTTCCATTAGGGCAGACACTTCATTGTGCTCAGCTGTTGTGTTTTCTGTCCCTTTGGTCTCCTTACCTTGCCCAGTATCTGAAGTCATGTGTCAACTCCATGGAAGAAAACAGTCGCATTCCCAAGAGGAAGTCAGTCTTAGAAAAATAATGCTTCCTGTTGGGTCACTTCTTTTCCCAACAAGATAAGTGTGTTGAAACAATATACTTCTTGGCACAGGTTGGAGATACAAAGTGTCAGTCACACTGTCTGGAGCAAAGAAAGTGAACGGGTACATCTTGGTCTCTCTGTATGGAAGTAACGGAAACTCTAAACAGTATGAAATTTTCAGGTAAGTTCTGTAGCAAGGGCAATAACTAAGTTGTCCCTAAGAGATGACTCATAAAGTCTTGGTTATCTACCGCTTTGCAAATTCAGGTATTTGGGAGCAGAACCCAAGGCCCAGACTATCCAAGCTGGGAAGAAATTGCCATGTCTAATTCAGTCACACCACTTTGTATATGAAAAGAGGAGGCTCTGTGAGAAAGGGCTTGGTGTTTAAAACGGATCACGTGTTGATTGCTTTTGTTAATCACAGGACTATGGTGTGTGTGTGTGTGTGTGTGTGTGTGTGTGTGTGTGTGTTACATTTGCCTCCTACAGGCTGGGCAAATACTTCACTATGGAGCTGTACCTCCAGACCTTTTTCTAGTGTTTCTGTTCATTTCATTTGTTTGTTTGTTTTGAGACAGGATCTCACTAAGTGGCCAGGCTGTCCTTGAACTTGAAATACTCCTGCCTCCCTTTATACATAATTAGAATGACAGGCCTGCATTACTAGGCCTAGCTTGATCTTCATTCTTCCTTTGAATGAGGTCCATCTATATGACAACCCCCGCTTCAGCTCCCCACCCCAATATACACAGAAGCCTGGGGCCCACAGCTTATTACTTTCATGACCTCAGCCTCTAGCTTATGCTAGATGTATGAAGAGCTTGGTGGTATGTGCTGAGCGAAAACACAGCTTAGATGGTAAAAATCAGATTCCGGTTTTGCACTAATTTTAATGGCTCCACACGAGTTTAATTTTTTTTTTTGACAACTCCTGGAGTTACTAATGTGACATTAACAAATTGTGCTTACCAAACTGCATGAATCTTTCAGCCAAAGATTCTGCATCAGTTTGTCATGTAGCAAACTTTGAGTTCCCAGCTACCCCAAATACTTTTCTTCTCTTTGGGACAAGCAAAAACAATGGACATCTGAAGACTGACTTTTTTAAGTGTGTTCTCCAGAAATGTTTGTTTGTGAAGCCCCTGGACATGTCTGCAGATCTTCCTGGTATTTGCAGAAAGCCAGCACCCCTTTACCTAGAAAGGATAGGTGAAGATCATCCCAGGTAGTCATGCATCCAGCTGACATGATATTTCTGTCTGTGCAATCAGAGGCTCCCTCACACCAGATACCTTACACGTGAAAGACATTGATGTGGACGTCAATGTTGGAGAAATCCAGATGGTTAAGTTCCTCTGGAACAACAATCAGATAAACTTCTCCAGTCCCGAGATAGGAGCTTCACGAATCACCGTGCAGAGTGGTAAAAACGGGAAAGAGTACGTATCTGAGATTCCTTCTCTCCGGTCGTATTTATGTGCTCCTCTGTCTTTGCCTCCACCTGTCCTCCCAGTCTCTCACCTACCCACCCATCCACGCCTCGTTCCTTTTCATGTCCTCTTTCATCACCAAGTCATCCGTCTCCCACATCGCCCAGACAGACACTTGCTCACTGTCAATTCTCTCATTAAATTACCCAGTTTTTCATCCCCTCCCCACCAGCCACCTGATTTGCTGTAGAAACTGAGGATCATTTCCCTTAGATGGTTTTCAATGTGGCAAGGGCAAAGCATTGATTGTTAGATCATTTTCTTCCCAATGACAGAGGTATCTAGGGAAAGGGTGGTGGAATTAGTTTCAGTTAGTATGCGGTTTTCAGTGTGAACGGATTTTTTTGAGACTTGGCATATAAGGGATATAGACATGAGTCTGGCTCACAGAGAAAAGCTCTTGGTCTCAAGGAAGAGAATCGACTTTAGTGGGAGTTGCGACAGAATCCACTGTTGTGGTTTCTGCTCTGTTGCTGTGATAACCAAAAGCAACCAGGTGATGGGGAAATGAGCATTTTAGCTACATCTTCAGGTCACAGTCCATCACTGAAGGGAGTGTAGGCAGATTCGGATTCGAGGCTGGACTAGAAGGCAGGCATTCTCTGGCTAAGGAGCTCACTTCACAGCAAAATGAAGAATTCTGCTTGCTAGATGACTCAAAGGCCAGCTTATATTCAGTTAGCTTTCATGGGCAGTTCAGGGTCACCTGTCTGGGAATGGTGCATGCCCACAGTGGGCTGGGCCCTCCGAAATCACTAAAAATCAAGACAGTGCTCCACCATTGCCTACAGACCAATTCAATCTAAGTGATTCCTCTATTGAGGTTCTCTTCTAAGATGATTCTAGGGTGTGTCAAGTTGACATTAAAGATAACCAGGAACCAAATAATTTCAAAACATAGAAAGAAAGGATAGCTCAAAATAGAGCAATCAGAAAAACAGTGAGATGTAGACCTCCAGGACAAAACCTGCTCTGGGCCAGTGGCAGGGCCACTGCTGGCTTCTGGAAGACAGAAGCAACAGGAAACCTGACTTACAGGCTTTGGTGTGATGTAGCTGCTGTACTTTCAGCATTTGGACACCCTGCAAGGAGAACATCCCTAGTTGGAATCAGTTGGGTCCCTGCCTAGGGTCCTGGAGTTTTTCAGTCTGAGGAAGCAAACCCGGGTGCTGGATAGGCACTGTCTGACAGTCTCACTGAAGCCATGGAGCCACTGACCAACCAGCCTGCTGCTTCCCCCACAGGTACAACTTCTGTAGCAGCAGCACTGTGAGTGAAGACGCCTTGCAGTCTCTTTACCCTTGCTAGAGGTGTGCTCTGGCTCTTGCCTCTTTTCCATAATAAATGTTTTTAATGCGCTTGGTCTGAGCTTGAGGTGTGTACCATGACATTCTCTGAGGACTGGGACATGATGGGGCAAATGCAAGGGCACCACAGATAACACCCGGGACTTCACACACACACACACACACACACACACACACACACACACACACCTGTCACATCTCTTTCAGGGCATTTTGTGTATCTTGTGTTCCAATAATGCCTACTTTTGTGTTTTGGGTTCAAATCACCCATGGCATGAAAGAGGAAGGAGGAGCTTTAATGCAGTTAGTCAATACCTGCCCTTGGCGCAACACTCAAGTGATACAGAACATTCCTACATCTTCATGTGTCTCAGTTTTTCTTCCCAGGGACAACTTGAGTTTATTCCCCAGAAGCATTCTACTTCTGCATATGTTTATGTCTGCCTCACACCCTACACTTCTGTCCAAGCACAAATGGAAGAATACTATATATGCTGGTATCAGTTGGTGTTTTTAATTCTCCATTAATTTGGTAGTATTATCTAACGGTACAGAAAATGGTTCTCATTCATCAAGAAGCTCTGTCTGCTCCAGGCATAAGCAAGCATCGTGTGAATGGTGGGTCCTGCTGCTGAAGAGGATGGGCTCTTTCCCATCACACGTGCTCAGACAATCAATACCCTTTCATGATGTTCCCTGCTGGATAAACTTGACAGGCCACCGTGGAGTAGTCAGTTTGATTCTCAGAATCTAGAAATGGTCTCATTTTGAAACTTTCAAGAATGGTCTTGTGGCAGCAGAGACCAATGCTTGAAGTGAGGAGCCCACGGTGGAACCGAAGCGCTTCATCTCAGTATCTTGGGGTTTTCAGTCCATTCTCCTTTTCCTCATTTCTTTTGTTGGTATTTTCCCATTCCTTTTCCTTGAAACTCTATGTATCATTTAAAAATCTTAGCTTGGTACAATGAATGGCTGTTATCTGAGCCCCACTATGTATTCTAGATAAAGCCCCAGAGCACAGAGCTTCTGCTCTTGGTCTTGACCATGCATTAGAATCACTGTGAAGTTTTCATAGCCCAGTCACCTCCTCTGTGGTGGACACCTGTGTTTTTTTAAGCTCCAAGGAAACATACAAGCAAGGTGAAAACCAATGCGAACAGTTCTTTCTGGGTTTCTAACAAACCCCCTTCTTTACCAACAACAAATTCCTTTCCTAGAAACCTTACTCTATATCTTTAGGTTATGTGTGCATCTGTGTGTCTGTGGTGTGTGTGTGTGTGTGTATGTGTGTGTGTGGTGTGTGTGCACACGTGCTCATTGTTGAGTTACAAGTAGTTATGAGCTGCCCAGTATGGGCGATGGGAACCAAACCCAGGTCTCTTAACCACGGAGCCATCTCTCCAGCCCCTACAGATCTTAACAGTGGGGATAAAGCTTTTCAGTCGTTCTGCGCTGGCTCCGTGTCACAGTCACCTGACTCCCCCATGCTCAACAACAGCCTTGCCCAAGGGCAGCAGTCATGATTAAGTCACTACAGCACACAGGTAAACCACATAACCACAGCACCCAGCACGTAACCAGCAGCCAGTCCACGAGGCAAGAGGTACTGGTTGACATGAGCTTTACTTCAGAGTTAACAGAGAGTCAAAATCAGACAAGACAGAAAAGTCCAGCCTCAGAGAAGGTGTTTCAAGTAGGCACAACCAAGGTCGAGTATTCAGATGCCATAAATAGAAGAAAACTAACTACAATGAGAAAATGGACAAAGGACATGAGCCCCTAGAGAGGCTGTTGTCGTCTGTTGCTATTGAAACAAACAATGAAAACAACCTGATGCCGAACCACAACCACAAAAGGCTTATTTCTCATCTCACAATTCTGGTGGCTGGGTGGCAAGGGCTGTGTCACAGCGTGGGGGACAACTGGGTGTGCGCAGAAACAAAAGAAGCACCAACTCAGACTGACTATACCAACCTATCCTCCTGAGAAATGACCCGTCCCTGAGCCCCGACTCACACCCTTGTGAGGACAATCAGTCCCTTCCCACAGCCGTGTCCTCCTGGTGTGATCTGCTTCCGGAAGGTCTCATCTCATACAGACCCTCAGCATCCACCAAGGGCACCAGGGTTCCACTGTCTCGAGGACAACCCACATTGGAAGCATATCAAGGGGAGCTACGGGACAGACGCTGGCGATTCCACCTCACTCGGGGAATCAGAGGAATGCAAATCAGGCCAAAACGAGAGTCCACTCATCAGATTATGCAAAACTTAACTTTTTCAAACAAAAATAACCAACTAGGATCCATATATACCAAAATGGGTAGAGCCACCCAATCCAGGGAGAATGCAAGCAGTGCCGAGAGGCCGCCATGCGGGCTTGGGGGCTTTGCATATTTCACTCCTCCTAAAATATTCCTGTCCACTACGCATGCTACTCAAAATATCAAGACAGCCAGGAAAGCCACTTAGAACCCTGTTAAGAGACCAACAATACCTTATCTATTTTCATGACAAAGGATGTTGATATAAATATGATGAGACGATTCATTTTTGATCACTCCAGGTAGCTGCCAGGGAAGTTTCTTTGTAGTTTAACTTCTAAGAAAAAGAGGAAATAAAGAGAATGGCCGGCAGGGTTGCAGGAGCCCAGTAGATCAACTTTGTTACTATATTTGCAGTTCAGCAACTATGGAAGGTAAAAGGCAACCAATAGCCTTCAATGGCTGCCTCCCCCAGAGATTCTGATTTATCAGCTGCTATTGCTAAAGTTCCCTAGACCCACGTCAGCCACAGAAAACCCTTTATCCTCACCTCTGACACTAACATCCCTGTAACCCATGGCACTGCCAGACCAGCCAAGGCCACAGCGTGTAGACAACTGTGTTCTCCACTCTCCCAGACTCAAGGCACATAATTCCATCAAGATTTGACTGAATGAAGATGTTAACAGCAGCAAAGATGCAAAGTAAAGTCACCCACAGAGAATCCAGCATCTTCATCACGTCTCCTCAGCCTCCATAGGGTGGGGGGAAAAATGAATACTTTACAAAGCTATTTCGTAAACTGTTATGTTAAATGGATATCTTTTACTAGCTTTTAATGCTAATAGTGCCATTTATTCCTGACCTTCAGAAATATGAGATATTTTAAATGACAACATAAAAAGAGTTCTTGTTTGAAAACCCAAGCTACTTTAGACTACATATTATTACGTCTAAGTATAGTGTGCGCCAGCGTGGCTCATTTCAGCATCCCGTTTCTATCTGGCTGGTATGTATTTCAGCTGACATTTATTGTCCTTCTGCATACGTGTCAAATTCCTTAATGACGACCGACAAAGGCGTAGCGCTTGGTATATATAAATTACATTTGCTACCATATAATCAGCGTTATCTATTAGAATGCTCTTTGCGACAAATCACGTTCAAAATAAAAAAACGGAATTGATTTTTCTGTTATTTTAATATCGTGCCGCACGCAGCAAGCCTTTGATTGAACCTTAAACACTTTAATGCTCTATTTTTGTTTGCTGCAGATCAGAAATGGAGTTTGTACTCGTCACAAAGCTAAAGCAATTTGCAAAAACAACGAAATCAAATTGTGGAAAAAGGAGAACTATCCTCTTTTTTTTTTCCACGCCGAGGGAATGTGTTTTTGTAAAGCCATCGTTAGAGGGCATACGGCTGCATGGCTGGTCACACACACTTTTCATTTCTGTGCCTCCATTTTCATCTAAATTAGATTTTAACTTTAATGCAGGGTATAAAAAGCCTCTCCTGGGCCTTTGTTTCTGTCTTCTCTCAATCCACCGTAGGCTTTCTCTTGGCTAATACAAGCTCCACGTTGGTCTTTGTCCTCCTGTCTTTTGGCCATGGTTTTAGGCTGCGTTCTCAGAGCGCTAGCTGCAGGAGGCTGTTTCTGGAATCTTCCAGTGAGTTGTCTCTCAGCGGTGCTCGCTTGGCGCACACTGCAGCAAATAAAGCACAACCAGAGTCTGGCTAGCACCAAGCTTTTGGCTTAATTTGTGGCGTACAGCAGAGGCTGGAGTCAGGGTTCTAGCCCCTGCTCTTTTTCTTCCCCCTTGCTAGGAATGGCATTCACAGTTTTAATTGTTTCTTAGAAATTCAAAATACAAATGGCATTTTATGATACATGAAAACTGTAAAACCTTAAAATATCAGTGACTGTCAATAAAGTTTTATTGAAACACATCAGCCATCCATTTAGTTACACACTGGCTATTCTCCCACTGAGGGCAGGAGTAGTTATGAACGTCCTTATGGCCCATGAAGCCTATAATATGCATTGTCTGGACCTATTCTGGTTTTTTTTCTGTGGTAAACACTCTGGCCAAAAGCAACTTGGAGAGGAAAGGGTTTATTCCAGCTTACACTTTGCTCACAACTCATCAGTGAGGGAGTCAGGGAAGGAACTTGAGCAGGAACCCAGAGGCGGGCACATGGAGTAAAGCTTCTTACTGGCTTGCTCGCTAGAAATACCTAGCCAATCAGTCGACAATTGCATTCACACACACACACACACACACACACACACACACAGCACTCTAAGCAAGTGGGGAGTTTCAGGCCAGCTTGCACAAGGTGAAGCATCTGTCTTCATTCAACTTCCCATGTTGTCTGCCCTTGTTCTTTTAGCAATGGTTATACATGACGGGCTGCATATATGAACTTAACACCTGCAAACTGTGAAAACCATGCTAAGCCCATTGTTTCACCGAATCTTCCAAAACAGCCTCACAAGGAAGGCAGGCTGATCATTTTCATAACAGAAGACAGGAGCTTGAAGTGGTTGTTTTCTCCTGGAGACCATCAGGCAATGCAAGGCCTGAGGACTCCTGAAGCCAGCCGTGGCCGCAGCCAGCCGTGGCCGCCCAAACCCCGGAGCAGGCTCCATCACCCTTGTACACTCTTGCATTCCCCTCTTTCCCCTCTCCCCTGCTGGCTCCTTGAGGCGACCCAGGGTGAGTCCATGGCTCTTTAGGAGTTGTTCACTGTGGCAATGGCCGAGGAGGAGATCACAGACCACAGGGAGGCATCAGGGGCTCAATGCTCTGACCTACCTACTTTCCGGCAGTACCATGTGACTTGTCTATGCTGGGATTTTGGTTGGCTTTGTCTTGCTCTGTTTTATGGGTGTAATTGTTTTTATATCGTCAGCTTGGCAGCATCTAAACTAATCTAGGAGACACACCTCTAGGCATGCCTGTGAGAGTTTCCAGACTGGGTTAAGTGATGTAGGAAGACCCACTCTGGATATTATTCCATGGGTTGACATCCTGAACTGAATACTCTCTGCTTGCATGTAGGGTTAAGACAGCCCCTTTAGGGGGCGGGGTTTGCCTCGGGCGAATGCCTACAGATAAATGGGCGCGCGCGCAGCAGCTCCGCCCTTTCCTTCCTACCTCCTGTGCCACACAGGAACTTCGGTTCTGTAAGTTTATCATTAAAGTGGTAAATATTCTTTAATATCTGCATTGCATTTATTTACTCCGATACACTTGCCCACTGTGGGGGTGACATCACCAGCTGCCTTCTGTTCCTGCAGCCACTGCCTTCCTGATCAAGGTATATTATACCCTCTTGAACTGTAAGAGAAAATAAACTTTTTTAAAAAGTTTCTTCTTGTTGGGTACTTGACCTCACCAACAAGGAAAGTATAACAGGGCTGTGTATCAAACCTGGGGCCTTGCCCACGCGAGCTGGGTATTCTACCACTAAGCTACAGCCACAGTCCCACACCTGGCTGGTCTCTTAGTATCATACGGATGCTACGAGGTTCTTGCATGATCTTCAGTTCACAGATTAGGAGTGTGGTCCTCGGAGAGTTTAGGGAGTGAGTCCATGGGTCACGCGTGCAGAAATACAAAGCTGAGATGTGAACTCTGGAGACCTGCGGCCTACACCACACACAACGCTGCTTGAGCAAAGTCAAAGCTACGTCATGGCTGAGAGCTTTGTGAGGAGTTTACAGGCAGCTGGTCACCACTGTGGGCCCTGTAGCAGGGACAGGGACCAATGGTGTCCCCCCTCCACCAACATAAAGGAGGGCTATCAATTTCTGTACAGAAAGCAAAGGTGACCCCTAAGAAGACAACTTTAATTGCCACAAAGCCCAAACTATCCTGACAAAAGGCCTGGTTGGCCCAGGGATTCGTTTTTCATCCTCAGGTAATGGAATTGTTTTTAGTAGCAAGAATGAGCTCATTACGGATGCAGCCTGTGATAATAACGATAATTTGCTGCAAGGCAAAAATCACCTTTATACACCCCTCCCGGGCGACAGAAACTCATGGAAATTATAGGCTAGGGAGAAACAGAAAGGATGAGGACTAAGGAAAAGAATTTCAAAGCAGAACTGAGAAGACAAAGGGAATCACAGCCCTGTACTCTGAACGTGGTGCCCGTGACCTGGAAAAGAACAGATCGCTGACGAGATGAACGGTTTCTACCTCATTACCTCTCCACTGGGGTCTTAAGGGTTTAAGTTTCAGCCATTTTTTAAAAGTTATTGCAAAATGAATTAGCCAAGAAATTAAATATTGGCACAGGAGGTGAGAAATATGCCAGTTTGTCAACCCCTTCACTTTACGGAAAAGACCCTGCTAGCCCAGCACACCTACCTGCAAACTGTGTGTCCTGAGAAGGGCCAAGTAAACACCCTTCCCACTCCCATTTTTCTTGTTCAGCCTGTCTAGTGACGAGAGCGGCTGACAGAGAAGCCGAGGGCTGGGTCCCGTACCTCCAGGCAGCTGGGTCCTGTGTGGGTTGTGGTCACTCCTTTAGAACCTGGACGCATCTTGACTGATCTTGGAGTGTTCCTTCATCCCTCTGAGAGAATGCCAGTTGCCTTCTGCTGAGACATGGCTTTCTTTTTTCCTTAAACAAAAACTCCAATATATTTTTAATTTTCTATGTATTCAGGCACACGTGTGTCACGGCACACTTGTGATGGTTAGAGGTGACAACCTATGGAGGATGCTTTTCTCTTCCACATATGGGTCCCAGGGACTGGACTTAAGACATCAGGCTTGACAGCAGGAGCCTTTATCCACTGAGCCATCATCTCTCTGGCCCTAAAATACCTTAAACCAATCCAGAAACTCTCCCCTAGCCCCTGGATGCTCTTCTCTCCCCACCCCCCAGAGAATTCAACTAAGCACTGTGCAGCAAGGATGACCTTGCTGTGTGAGGAGCTCCCAGAAAAAGCTGTCTTCTCTGTGGGTTCGGTGAGTTTGCAAGTGTTTTGATGCCCATGGACAGATCTGTCCACTCAGAGCTCCCTCTGATTTCTTCTGCATACCGACAACCGCCACATGAGATCAGACACCTGACCTGCCGCAGGAAAGACGCAGGAAGCTAATCTGACTGACTGAACTGTGTCCCTTAAACACAGGGACCTCAGAATACGACTGACTTAAAAACTGGGTCCTGCAGGTTTGACTAGTTAGGATGACATTGGGATGCAGCGCAGTGGACTCCTATGCCAGTGTGGCCAGTGTTCCCAAGAGGCAGTGAACCTACAAACACACGGGAAGAATGGCACGTGACCAGAAGACAGACTCAAGATCCGCCGCATGGTTTGAATGCGAGGCATCCTCCACGGGCTCCTGTGTGTGAACGCTGTCCCCACAGGGTGGCGCTATTTTGGAACGCTGCAGAGCATTTAGGGGTGGAGCCTCACTGGAGGAAGGGTGTCACCTTTTTGATGTAGCCTGGCTGTTTCCTGTCTATTTCTGACTGACAATGCAATGTGTCTGACCACCTCATGTTCCCGCCTGCCATGCCTTCCCCACCATGATGAATGCTGAACCCCTGAACTGTGGCCACAATAAACCCTTCCACCTTTGAGTTGCTTTTTAGGTATTTGGTCCCAGCGACTGAAACCTACAGATTTGGACTTCCTGTGTGGTGAAGCCACCCAGCTGGGTGCTGTGTTTAAACATCCCTGGTAATCTCACATAGCCGAGGTTTGCAGCTGAAATCTCCCTGGTGATGTGGGATGTCTCTTTGTATGATGTCAATATATTTTATAGCCAGTAGTTAGTAAAGAAGATGCTTTGACCTGTGGCCGGGCAGAATAGAGCCAGGCAGGAAACCCAAGCAAAGATACATGGAGAAAGAAGGCGCAACCAGGGAAAGGCCAGCAGCTGTGGGAGAAGCAAGATGTGAGGTAACAAGCCAGAAGCCTCATGGTAAATATAAACTAGTAGAAATGGGTTCATTCAAACATAAGAGCTAGCCAGAAATAAGCCTAAGCCATTGGCCAAATAATTAAAATTAATATTAAGTCTCTGAATGGTTATTCAGGAACTGGTGGGCAGGAGAGAAGCCTCAAGTGACACCCTGGGGACTTGGATTATAGAAAACTGGGGTTGAAGTAGGATTTCTGTACCAAGGTTGGGGGACAGGCTACCCCAGGACCCATGTTGACTGACAGACTGGTTAGAAGGATTGGTTAGGCTTTTGGAGAAGAGCCTGACCCAGCTACACAAGGTTACCTTGGTGTTAGGAGGAGACAGCCCTGGAATGGGCCCTTTACTAGGTCAACATATTGAAAATTACCATTAACCCTCACCCTCCCCAAAACAGAAAAAACTTATCAGGTTGAGAGGTAACTTCTCTATTCAAAGATGGTCATGGGTGACATTGCCAGTCACTTAGGGCACAGATAGTGGTTAAAGAATTATTATGAAATCTCCTCATTGCTCAAAGAGTGTGAAGGGCTGGTTCCGACGCAAACGCAGCAGGCTTCTGAACTCCCTTAAGGCTCACATCTCTTTGGGAGGAGGCGGGATTCTATCCCTCGGCAAATTTCCTTGCTGAGGATGGGGGTTCCCCATACACATTCCTGCTGCATGACAGACTGGACCACTGAGCACAGCCACAGGTTCCAGGAGATCGGAAGTCCTCACCTGGGGATGTTTGACCTGGAAGAGAAAGCCTCCATATGAGCGGCACACAGGTGACCCAGCTAAGCAAGGAGGTCAGAAGGAATCAGTGCCTCGCTAGCTTACCTGGCACAGAGGAGTCTTGGTATTCAGGTGGGAGACCGTGGCGCTGTGAGACTTTTGGAGACGCATCAGAAGGCTGTGCGGAGCTCACACTATATATTCTAAAGTAAGCAGAAAGCATGAAGTTACTCCTTATAGTAGGAGGTATAGCATACAGGTCCCGAGCAAGCACCATGTGTTTGTTCTAATCCTTACAATCCACCCCAGCATTCAGAATTACCATCCCCGTTTCACAGATGGTAAACTGAGACATGAGGGTGCTCCAGGGTCCCTGCCAGCTCCCTCCCTTTTAGCCTCTTGAGAGCCTGGTTGGAGGTTCTAGACAGCAGATCAGTCCTCCTCTAGCAGGGGAGGGCTGTCCTCTTCAACCAAGCAAACTTCCGCGGGGGGGGGGGGGGGGGGGGTGCACAGCTGCCTAGCAGGGCCGATCTACCAAATCAACCCTGGGGCTCTAGAGGCTATAACCAATCATCATCCTCATATTTTGTGGTTGTTTGATTTTTTTTTATTGATTGATAGATTGATTGATTTGAGACTGGGTCCATGTAGCCCTGGCTGTCCTGGAACTCAGTATGTAGATCAGGCCCTGATCCCACAGAGATCTGCCTGCCCTCTGCTGGGATTAAAGGTGTGCACCACCATGCCTGGCTTCCTTGAGTCTTAGGCCAATGCTGAGACAGACAGTTCTGTCTGTCCTTCTGCTCCCAGCATAGAATACCCATGGCACAGCTGGAGGGCATGGTGCAGAGCATGTTTGCCACAGGAAGGCCCTGCCATGACAAATGTGCACATTCTACACACCGGGTCAGTAGCAGTGCTGGGGTGGGGCGGGCCCCGCTGCCCCTGCTCCCACCTCTTCTGCTCCTTCCACCCTGCAGCTCACAGATAATGCCAGCTACACTTACTGATCATAAGGTTTCCGTCGTGCCCTCTTGGCCTGCTCCACCAGTTCCAGGAAGTCCTGGTAGCACTTTCTGGCCATGATGGTATACCTTGTGGCACAGCCAAATTCAGTGACCCTGGCTCTGGGTAAGAAGCCTGCCCAGCCAGGGATGGGGGGCTCGTCCAGTGGTTTTTTCACATTCTTGCATTCTGCAAGGAGACAGCAGGGGTCCTGAGGATTTCAGAGCAGCCCAGTGGGAAGCACTCCCAAGCTCCCTGGCATATTAACAGTTAACCCAAGAAACCCCCAGGCCACACAGAGATCTCCAGCTGTGAGCCAGCCTTCCTGGAAAGGGCTTCCCTCTGGTAGATATCTCATTTCATGCTTTCAGTAGCCTTGGATACTTCCCAGGCAAGTCCTGAGACCTAGTCAGGAGGTGTAGGTCCAGGACACACTTAGCGCCATCAGGTCCTGGTGCTGACACTGACTGGCAGGGTGAACGCGGGTGCTGAAGAGTCAAATGAGGCCCCCAAGTCCCAGAATTCAAAGCTGAATGGCACCCTAGGGGACACTCGGTCCATCTCTCTCTGCACAGGAGCCAGGGGGGTAAAGCAGTTTGCTTTGGGACACATAGCAAGTAACCGTAGTGATGAGCTAAATTCTAAAACTTGGGCAAGGGAGTCTTTGTCACATCTGTAATATTTTAAAGCTCAGCAAGCATATAAATGATCATCTATTTTGGATACGTCCTTAAACAATTTAGTATTAACAAGAAAGGCTATCAGCCTAGTGTGTGTGTATGTGTGTGTTGTCTGTGCACATGTGAGCATACCACAGTGCATTTGTGTACTTGTATGCGAGTGCACCCATGTACTTGTAGAGGCCAGAGGTCTACACCAAATGTCTTCTTTTGTTACTCTTGCCTTGTTTTGTGAGGCTGGATATCTCAGTGATTCTAAAAACCAATTCAGCCATTCTAATCGGCCAACAAGCCCCTGAGATCTACCGAGAGTACAGCCATGTACCACAATACCTGGTTTATTTACACGGGCTTTGGGGAGGAAGCAAAACAGGGCTTCACGCATGCGCAGTGAGTATGCTACAAACTGAACCATTCCCGGACCCTGCATGTCTTTTCCTATAGCCCTTTAGATATACACATAATCCAGGTCAAAGACACATTAAATTAGTGCTGCGTCATCCAGCATTCAATGTGAAGTCTCTTCCTGCAGAATTAGTACCTAAAGCTGGATTCAAACCTAGAACAGAAGTCAGCACCCTTGCCATGATCCCCGGGAGCCCTCCTGGAGCCTAACGGGAGCATCTCTAAGGGCCTCTCGCCGGGAATGGCAGTCCCATCCTCACAGGGCTATTGTGTCTGCTCAGAGAACAATGAAGTCCAGCTCAGAGAAAACTCCCAAAGGGGCAGCCACCGATTCACACGCTGATGCTCAAAGTCCACTGGGACTTGTCTAGGGTTCTGAGCGGGATGCAAGCCTCCCCCAACTGCCCGGGATGGGTCCCTTCTCGGCTACATCCACTATGCTTGGTTAGGTGCTCTTCCTGGCTGTACAACGGCCTGCTGGGATCTCACTGGACCAGGGCTGAGAGAAGCTGATGCGGGGGAGGCCGTACCCAGAGTCAGGGGGTGATACTTCTTGGCATACTCATGCAGCGTCCACAGCACTGTGTCCTCGGAGCAGATGGGCTTCAGGACCGGGGTGCGAGCCACACAGCAGTTCAGTTCCTGCTGCTGCTCCTTGTATCTCTGCGTCCTCTCCTGGAAGGCTTTCACACAATGATTCATTTGGTCCTCGTTGGGGCTTCCTTGGCAACTGAGCCATGGTATGAAGCCTGAGAGGGAATCACAGCCCTAGTGAGGTAGCTGGCTACCGGCTGAGAGCCTGCCTCTGTACCCACCACCGCAGCCGCCCTCCACTTGGCTCTCCTCCACTGCCACCAACGCTGTATGTTTCCAAAGGCCATTAATACAAACGGTGTTGTTGTTTGCACCAGGGCTGGGCCCTCCCAAGGCTGCAGAAAATGACCTTGGCGCTGGGGAGGGAAGGTCCACTCTGACAAAGGAGATGACAGCCACACACTTTGCTGGCAAAGCCCCCGTGTCAGGCTGAACAGCAAATGGGGAACGCGTTTAATGGGCCTAAATGATAGTCTGGGGAGTAATGGAAATTATCCATCTTTTTTTCTTTTTTGAGAGAAAGCTTATTTTCCTTGACACTTCCCAAATGCAATCTGGGATCTTTCTTGCCAGACCATAGAGAAATTGCAGGCCCATTAAAAGCAGAGACGTGTAACACAAAAAGGTAAATTCATCATCTGCAAGACCCACCCCTAGGACAATTTTTCACCATTTCCCACAAAATAACATGTAATCATTACAATTAGAAACGATAAAAACATGACTATTTATTCAAACAGGATGCGGAATCCTAAGTACTATAATATTGTCACAATAAAATCATTTTTAAAAGAACAGATGAGGAAAACTGGTTAAGAACTTAGCGTTACGTGGACAGTAAATAAGTATCTCACAGTACCGAAGCTCGTTGTTTTTGTTTTTGGTGGTTTTTTTGGTTTTGTTTTTTGGTTTTGTTTCTTTTGTCTTTGTTGCTTAAGAAAGAAAACCTGGCTTTGGAGCTGAATGTAGCAGCTCCAAGACCTGCACCCACAAGAAAGCGCCTTCTAGGAGAATCTAACAGACTGACCTGGACAGGACAGTCACAGACCCCTCATCTGCTATGGTTTGAATGTAAAAGTGTCCCCACAGGCTCATGAGCTTGAAACTTGGTCCCATGGGATTGTGGAAACATCAGGAGGTGGGGCCTGGCTGGAGGAAGGAAGTGGGCTGGAGGAGGGCTTTAAGGTTTATAGTCCAGCACCACTTCCTGTCCTCTCCCTGCTTCCTGTGTTGTGGCGTATTTAACTATGTAAAGGTGCATCATGTTTGTTTATGCTGCATTTGTTTAATTCTGTAAAGCTGTGTTGCTGTTTCACTTTGCCTGCCTGAGGCACCTGATTGGTCTAATAAAAGCTGAACAGCCAATAGCGAGGCTAGGCCAGAGAGGGATAGAAGGGGCTGGCAGACAGAGAGAATAAATAGGTGGAGAAATCTAGGCTCAAGAGGAAGAGGAGTGAGAGAAGAAGGAGAAAGAGGGGGATACTCCTGGGGCCAGAAGCCAAGCAGCTTCCAACCAATCATAGAGACAGAGAAGGTAAGATATACAGAAAGGTTTAAAAAAAAAAACTGAGGTAAAATGTAGATAAAGAGAAACTGATTAAAATAAGAGCTAAGATAAGGCTGAGCATTCATAACTAGTAAGAAGTCTCCACATCATGATGTGGGAGCTGGTTGGTGGCCTTAAAGAAAAAGGCTGGTAAATCCTGGTCCATCCAAACATAAGGAGTCCCATCCACGAGCCTCCGCTACTGGGTCTTCGCGACCATGATGGGTTGTAGATCAAACTGTTGCCAAAATAAGTATCTTCTCCTTCATCAGGTGCTCAGTCACAGCAGCAAGGAACTCTAGACTATTTCCCCAACCCCTGGGTGATCAACATTGTCATGTCTATCATGTGATGTCATGGAGAGGGCCACAGAAGCTGAAGGCCCTTTTTGTAGTGCATCTCGACCACCAAGGCCTACTTTGATCTATACGTTTATGTATGTGTATGCATAAACATGAGACATACCTAGTTATACAGACATTTCAGTGAGTGAAGCATGCATATACTGGCTTCATGAATTATCACCATGACTATAGAGAGTACCCAATATGATATGGTGCATGGCAACCCCAAACAGACATATCCAAGTCCCTAATCCTGATACCTATGAGCATGGTCTTCTGGGGAAATGTAGCCTTAGAAAACAGAATTAATGAGCTAAACACAAGATCATTCCACATTTAAGCTGTCCCTAAAGCCAAAGTGTCCTTAATGTGTGTGTGTGGGGGGGGGGGGTAAGGCTGGAGACACTCAGACCTACAAACATGCATTTGAAAACTCAGTGTTGGGGCCAGCTGCCATTGTATAGAATTGATCCCTTGTATAAGGACGGTTATTCGCAGTCTTGTAGACAGTGGGAAAAGGGAGGTGAGAAGCAAATCTGAACTGTCAGACTCCAAAGCACATTCTCTTATCTAGCTAGTGGGACCAGGGTGAACCTGGGAAGCCTTGCAATGTTTTCATGCATAGCCCCTATGTATGAAAGCTGAGAGCCCACTGAGCATGTCAGTTATAGGGACGTTCACAGTTCTCAGAAGCCTGAGAAGGAAGAGCCTTTAGAAATAGAGACCAACACTAACACGGGACTGACTTAAGTAGGGCCTCTACATATATGTGACAGTTGTGTAGCTTGGTCTACTTGTGAGACTCCTAACAGTGGAAGCAGGGGCTGTCCCTAACACTTTAGCTGGCTCTTGGGAACCTATTTCTCATACAGGGTTGCCTTGCCCAACCTTAATACAAGGGAGGGGTTTATCTTATCACAACTTGCTTTGCCAGGCTTTGTTGACACTCGTGGGAGGGCTGCCCCTTTCTGAACAGAGACAGAGGAGGAGTGGGTTGGGGGGGAGGGTGAAGGGGAAGAAGGGAAAGGAATCGGAGGGAGGGGAAAATGCAGTTGGTGATGTAAAATAAATAAAAAGAAAAAAGAAATGGGGACCAACTGTCGTTTGTCAAAGATGAAAGTGTTTCCTAGACATAGGCCTTCCAAGGCTGTGACCTCGACAGGGGAGGTGGCCAGTCTCCCTTTAGGAGGCATGGGAAGGAATGAAAAAGTAAGAACCACCTTTGTGGGAGACTTGAAAAAGCACAACTTGGGAAGGACAGAGGCCTAACTTATCCACCTTTGTCTATCAAAATGTCTATCCTGATCCACAAGCCACCCAGCAGATGTCAAATGCTTCCGGTAGGAACTCCTGAAGGATTTGGCCTAAGTGTTTCTTCTCGGTTATCCAGGACTAGCTGTAACCTTCCTGCAGCACTGGGTCCTCTCACTGTGTCTTAGAAGCTGCGGTGCTTACACTTGCCCAGTTTGTGAGCATCCAGGCACAGCTGGCCCTGACCCTTGAGGACCTGGCAGAGGGGGTCACCCCTAGGTGCAAGGCAGGCAGTATCCTGCACCTTTAAAAGGCGAAACTCCACCTATGTCTTCCTCCTCCTCTTCCTCCTCCTCTTCCTCCTTGTTCTCTTCCTGGTCCTCCTCCTCCTCCTCCTCCTCCTCCTCCTCCTCCTCCTCCTCCTTCTTCTTCTCTCTCTCTCTCTCTCTCTCTCTCTCTCTTTCTCTCCCCCCTCCCCCCCACAAGGCCACTCTGTGCTCCCTTTCTCTCTCCCTTCTCCCTTCCCATCTCCCAGTAAAACTCCCTACATAAGCTCTGTCTGCAAGGCATGTCTCGTAACACAGACACAGACAAGGACCAAAACAAGCCAGGGACCAGAACCGTTGTTATGAATGCCACTTACCACTGTATCCTGGTGTGATGGGCAATTTTCTCATGAAGGTCTCAGGAGACTCCATTTTACTCTGCCAGTGAAGAGAAAGGGGCGTGAAATGGTCTTGAGTTCCTGTCTCAAGGACTTAGGGCACTTGGACAAGAGTTCTTGAGTGTAAAAACAATGACGTGGTCGGGCACTGAGACTGAGAGGTAGAGACACCAGCACACCCACAGCTAGTTGACAGAGTTAGTTATAACCCTGAGACCTGACACCAGGGGCTCATTGCCACCTATGAGTGTCTCACTTCCAGAGACACCCCCACCGACCACCCTTCCATCCATCCGCCCACCCACTCACCGATCTAATAAAACCATTTGCATACACAGCCATGAAACAGACAGAGTTGTGAGTATAAAGAAGAGCAAGAGCCAGGAGCTACCATGTCAGACTCATGAGACTTGCGTGAGAAAAAGGTAAGAAACCCATTTCCCCACAGTCCACTCTAAATTCAGGCAGAATCTGGTTTGGTAGTGACCTGTGTTGCTAAATCCCTTTATGCTCAGACTGACATCTGGAGACACTTCGGGTGTCATAACTAGGGGGGCAGGATGCTACAGGTATCTTGTAACTAGGTCCCTTCTCAACTTTATTCAACGCAAACGAGACACCCCCTCCCCCCAACAAAAGTTTAGACCTATTCTTGTCTTGGATCTAAAAGCCACAAAAACCTGGCATGGAGTCCAAGGAAGGGATGAACGAGATGATGGGTGCCCATTCTAGTACCAACTATATAGACACCACCTCTGGAGCAAAGCCCTTCCCCTCACCAGGGATCACTAATATCTCCACAACGGGCCAAGGTTTGTATATGGAGTCTGCGGTTCATCTGTACCCTATCCTGCCAAGCCACGGCATCTCTGTAAGGAGGCACTTTTGTGACCAGGAGATGGTTTCAACTACTTTGAGTCAAGGGGAGTATGAGCAAAGACTGCTCAAGTCCTAAGGGCAGGATATGCTATCAAGCCTGTGTCCGCTGGGTGCTGAGAACCAGGCCAGCCTGTAGGGAGATGGGGCAGGGAGGCACTTGGAGGGATTTCTGAAACAAAGGCAGGACAGGGTCCAGGAGAGACCAGGACCCTTCTCCACCCACTTCCACTGGCCCCTGCTCTTACCTGGGCGGGTCGAGCACCCCCAAGGAACTAGGCAACACTGCCTGCCTGCATGCTCTATCGGGCCTTTGTGCGCTCACTCGAGGTGGGCGGGCAGATTCTAGATCCATCCGGGATATTTGGGGCTGGTCCCGCCCCATACGTGGAGACCAGGAGGCAGGCCAGGACACCAGAACCAGAACCAGGAAGTGTGTAAACCCTGCAAATTTGGCCGCTAATCCCTCAGCAAGCTGGTCCTGCCTGCCCTGCGGAGGTCCAGACGTTTGCCCGGTTGCCTGTAGCTTGGGTGCTTCCTTCGCACCAGGGGAAGCGGAACCGACGGCCAAAGGGAGGGAGTTTGCAGCTCCTGTTGGGTGATGTGGACACACAGGGGATGCGTGCCGAATGCCACCCCTATCCGCACCCCGCACCCCGCCAGAGGTCGCCAGTGGTCTCCATCCCTGCCATGTGAGGGCCAGCAAGGGGCGGAAGGCAGTCTGGAAAATGAAGGCCATCTGTGTCCATGTTGGCTTCCAAACACAGGCACCTTTCCCAGCCTAGTACACCCCTGCAGACATCATTCTCCGTTAGGAGGGCTGGGGTTTGTTTCTGTTTTCTCCCCCACAAGGTTCCGGGACACAAGCGCTTAACCAAAATGAAGGTATGCTTGAGAGTTGTCTTACTCCTTTTTAGCAGTGGTTTTTTTGTTTTTTGGTTTTGGAGTGGGGAGGGAAGACGGCCTGAGCCATCAGGTCTTTTGGCTGATGCCACTGAGTGAACCTAAAGGGGCATGGAAGGCTTCTGCCGGACGGCTGCTCAACTACCTTTTCAAGCCCTTGGACCACTGGGACCACACCTCAAGCCATCCGGACACTTCTAGAGCCAATTTAGGATTGGCCCCAGGGGTAGAGCCTGGGAGGAAGTCTACGCCTGCAGGGATGCCCCGGGCAGGCACCACCCAGGCCTCCCACACTCCTCACTATGGTGAATCAGCAGTTGACTCTAGCCGTCTGCCTCCTCTCCAGCTAAACCACTGGGTGTCGTTGGGGGCGTTGGTTCCCAGCAAGGGAAGGGCCTGTCAGTAAAGCTTACACCGCCTGAAAGAGGACTTGAGTCAGGAGGAAGTCATTAATGATCCCCCCCATCAATTCCGTCTATACGCCCGGAACGAGAAAAAAACTACTCTAGGCCACGTGAAATTCAGTTTCTCTTTATTAGAATCTGTGAAGACAGACAGAGTTTGCAGATGCCGTCCTGTCTAGTTGCGGCCACGTGAAATTCAGTTTCTCTTTATTAGAATCTCTGAAGACAGACAGAGTTTGCAGATGCCGTCCTGTCTAGTTGCGGGCGGCTGCAGCTCTGTGTCGTTCGGCTCTACCTTGTAGTGAACAAGACTCCCAGCGGCTGAGATCGTAGGATACTGTTCCACAATTCAAACAGATGAGAGCTGGTATGATATTATGACCAACAACATTTAGACTAGCCACCCACTTACGCCATTCCCCAGCGTACGTACTTCGCAGCCTAATCACACGATTACATCACTACAATGTGAGATTCGGTCTTCGATTAATAATAATGCATTTTGACTCCTGTTTAATATCCGTGCATGCAATTCTTTGCTACCCTGGCGGTTAACCAGACCTGGACGCTAATTAGAAGCTAAACTTGGTCTAAATAACATTCTAAGGGTGAGGGGCAGGCAGGCTCTGTAACCTGGACTCAGCCATCGCGCCCCAGGACCTCTACAGAAGCACCCCCTTTCCTATTGTATGCCACCTCCTGTCTGTCAGTCTGCATTTAGGAATGCCTGCTGTATACAGAAAAGAGAGTTCAGTAGCCAGATAATACACACAAAGACCACAGACCCCCCTCCTAGAACTTTCTAAGTTGGGGACTGTGTCCCAAGTGTACGTATGCAGTGCTCTGATACGGTTATGTCGGCTGGAGTAGGGATAGACTGGAGAGCTTCAGCTGGAGTTTGATGACTGGGGCTGCATATCTGGGCCAGAAGGAAGTCAGGGAAGTGACCGCCCCTTCTCCATCATCAGTCTGCTAAGACTGCAGATCTCTGTCAACTCGTTTAAGCAAAATAGGAGCAAGGAGACAGACCTAGCATAAGCTGAGGATGCTTTATGCTAGCCAGGAAAAGAAGGGCCCAACTGTCCTGCTCACTTACTAAACCCAACAGAAATCTCAGCTCATGTACCACTTGGTTCCTCTGATCATGAAGGGTGCCACGCTTTGCCTTGCCAGAGGGGAGAGGTCAACAGCCCTGAGAGACACAAAGTGTCTGGGGAGGGAGGCATGGCTCACAGGCCGGTGTGCTCAGCTCTCAGTCTGGGCAGGAGACGTGGTGCATTACCCTTCACGCAGAAGCGTTCCGCTTTGGGCAGGGCGTGCAGGTGTGGAAGGGTCTGCTGGAGCTGTCGGTCTGTGTGGTCTGTGTGATCAGAGTACTCTGACCCAAGGCACCTCTAACTATTGCTCAGTCTTGCATACATGTCCACGGCATGACATCAACACAAACAGTGATCAGTGAGAGCGATTGGGAGGCGAAGCTGTGGAGCTTACAGGCAGCAGTGTAATTAACCAAAATTAGGAGAACTCTCCTCAAACAAGCGCACAGTAGAAATAAAGATTCTGTACAGGATTCTAGTGCTCTATATACATAAAATTATATCCATTATAACAAAATTGAAAGTCTATTTGAGGACTGTGGCCGGAAACACCAAAAGAGAGGCCCATGAGCTTCCAAGGCAGAGTTAGCAGGGGAATCCTAGCAAGCATTCTGATATCTGGATTTGACACCCCGCCATTCCGTTTGGGGTTCCCATTCTCGTGTCCTATGGTTTGATAGCATTTTCACATTCTAGCGGGGAATTTCTGCAGCAAGTGGTGTGAAAAAGACAACAAGAGGTTGGAGTTCAAAATGCTACTTAAAATCTGTGTATTGGCTATGATGATGGGTTCACAAATCCAACTTGCATTTGAAGTTCCCTTCCCTCATTCTGTACTCATTCATTCATTCATTCATTAAATAATGCACGCCTCCAGTGATCTGAAATCAGAACAAATTCCAGCAGGTAAGAAAGGCAGCTTTGAACAGATCAAACGGTTCCTCATCCTCGGTTGGCTCTGGAACGTTGGCGAGACTGGCTTTGGCTTTGCACAGAGGGAAGGCGAGAACACAGAACCTAGCTGGCTCATTGGGCAGCTTCATTCTCAGGGTTCCTACTGTGACATCTTTTTCCTTCTCTGACCCTTCCAGTAAGGACTAAAAGGGTGACCCCACCTGGTTGTGTGGGTACACACACTCTTCCCTAAGGGGGCTCTGACGGGAAGGTTTGAGGCCACACTGTGTGGTCTGTGGTCGCTTCAGCTCTGACAAAATCTCAGTTTCGAACTCCTCGCATGCGAACACGAAACACGCAGGTCCTGTCTCTGCAGAGTCAGCTCTGGCTTTAGGGGTTAGATTCAGACCTGCTCCTGACAAGCACCCAGGCAATTCTGAGGCAAGGGGGCCACAGACCTGCTTTGTAAGAGGCTATTCTCATCTGCCAGGTCTAGGTTTACATGCCCTTTTTAGTGAGCAAGGTAGGGGGGGTTGCTTTGGAGTTCTGGGCTTGGTGATACATATAAACAGAGCAAATAAAAACTTCATTTTCTCAAACAAATGTCCTACTAAACTCACCTATGATTATGCAGGACCTCTGAACTCAAGGTTTGTTGTTCTGAGAATTATCCTCTGATCTGTATTTTCATTTACTGGGTTTTCAATGAACCCCAGTCAACTGTGGTCCAAAAATGTGTAACAGTATAGTATAGTAAGATATGCTGCGATAGACCACATTCATACAAATTTTATCAAAGTGTTTTCATAGTTGTCCTATTTCATCATTAGTTATTGTTGCTAATCTCTTACTACTTTATTAAATTGAACTTGATCATAGGTATGTAAATATAGAAAAAAACCATAGTATATAGATAAGGTTTGGTACTATCCACGGCCCTGGGCATCCACTGAGGAACCTCAGGGTGTATCCTCTACAGATAAGAGGGGACCGTTGTAATGTGGGGTAAGTCACAAACTCTTCAGTGTGCATTCCCACCAAAGGAAGCTTTACCTGCTCTGGAAAATGGAGGTATTGGCACCCTTGCCTCCACCCTGCCCCTCCCCCCATCCTGGTTGAGTTAGCCAAAACCATCCTTCATTGAGCCTCCTTGGAATTTAAATTATACGAGAACCTAAAATAGTGCCCGGTGTGGGCAGTCTTCTCCCACCAGCGTAAAAGAAATACTGTAAGTTGCCGCTGAGTCACCAAGAAGACGAGATTGAGTGCAGGAAGCTGGCACTTCCTATCCTTTGCCGTCCAAGGTAATTTAAAAAGACCTCTGAGGAGGACCCCTCCTGGTCAAAGGTCCTGCTTCACACCCAGAGAGATGTCCTCCCTCACAGGGTCCTCTGCATGGCAAGCAGGGGCTGTCTTACCACGCAGGAACCTGTGAGAGCTGGCTGCTCCAGGATCCCTGAACTTCCTATTTCCAGACCTTGATACTAAATTTCTGAGTTTTTCTGATTCCAATATACTCTCAACAAAAAAAAAAAAAGTCCTTAGTTAATTCTCTCCCTGGTTCTCATCTTTCCTACTGAAATTTAGGTGGGCGATGGCAAAGGTCAAGGTCAGGGGCAGAACAGTCAAGGTCAGCGGATGCAGAGGAGTCCCGGGGGCTCGTGGCGGGGAGGGGTGGTTACATTAGTAGTTTAGGAAGTCGATCCCCACTTTGACACTCTTTGAGGTGGCTATATCAATGGCTGTGGCCTTGATTTCAGTGTCCCCGAACTGCATAAGGGTCTGGATTTCCCTGCGGGCAGGCACCGCTGCGCCACTGGTCCCCGTGAGATCCAGGCGGAGCGTACCACACTTTCTCACCCCTGGGTCAGTGATGAAGCTGACATCGTCATGCTCGGAGCTGTAGACATTGATGACAATGACCAGCTGGGAGGGCTTGGCGGGAGTGTAGCTGCGCTTGACCAGCTCCCCCAGAGCCACGGACTGGTCCGCGGAGATGAACTTGTCAAAGACATCCGTGCACCAGCGGGTGCCGTCCTTCACCAGTAACTTCTCGGGGGGATGTTTCCCCTCCACGTAGCGGTTCAGCACGCCCACGCCGTAGGTGAGGGGAGACCGGCGCACCTTGATGACAGCAGGGTCCAGGCCAAAGAGAACAGCGCCCTTGAGGATGGTGAGGCCCACATCCTGGGGAATGATGATCCTGCACTTGTCACCAAAGGCAGCCTGCACCGCCTGCTGCAGAAGGGGGGCCTCTGCAAAGCCACCCACCAGGAAGAGGAACTTGACCGTGGACACCTCGGGCTTCTGAAACAGGTCCCCTGAAAGGGAAGGAGAAGGGGAGATGGGATGACCCAAAGCAAGGCAGCCTGAGTCTACAGAAGGGACAGCTAACCATGAGCATCAGCTGGCATTGGCTTTGCACGAGCTCATTGAACTCAGTTTGGACTGAGCTAGTCTGATAAAGAAAGGTTTATACACTGTATGCCTGGGAACAGAGGCCAGGGCTGTGCCAAGTAGAAGCCTAACTTATCGGAGGTGGTGCTGGCTTTAATCAGAACTCATTCATCATGACGATAGCATCCCTTTAAATATGTGATCCTAGCTGTGAGAAACAGTTGTGTCTGACAGTCACAAAGGTAGGTGAGGGATGTATAAATGGTATGATGTTGGATCCTGGAAAGAAAAATCCCCATCAGGTTACTGTGTGTCCAACCTGTGGTTGGACAAGGATAACAACACACAAGATGGCAGGACAGACAGACTCTTGTCTTGCTGGAACCCTTCCTTGGCTCCCCGTGAGGCCAGGATCCCTAAGTGTCCCCAATACTCCAGACAAGATACAGTCCCGGGGCTTGTCACTCTAGAGTAGTACTGTTTCAGAGTTCCTTGACCTCTGGCCTTCAAGGCCAAAGTGAAGCCCAGGTAAGGGCAGGCCCTCAGCTGCTCAGCTCTCCAGAATGGGTGGCATCCAGCAGCCTTCCTCATGATGTGCCCAATCCCTGCCTGTAGGGATATTTTGTTTGTGATCTAACAAAGCTTGCCTGAAGATCAGAGTGCAGAGCTAGCCACACTAGTTAGCCATAGAGGCCAGGTGTGGCATATACCTTTAATTGCAGCACTTGGGAAACAGAGGCAGAGGGAAATCTGGAAACTCAAGGCCACCCTGGGCTACACGAGATTGAATCTGTATGAAAGAGAAACAGAGCTCACACAAAGGTGATCACACGCCTTAAATCCTAGCACTAGGGAGGTGGAGGTAGGAGTGATATGGGTGGGCAGAGAGAAGAATAGAAGGCCGGAGGAGACAGGAGCTCAGTCTGAGGATTCAATCCGAGCATAATCTGAGGTTTCCTGGAGAGGCAGCCTGAGCTTTTGCAGAGACAGCATTCAGTCTGAGGATTCATAGAGACAGGATGGCCCCTTTCTGTCCGAGCAGTGGTTGAGGTGAGAACTCTAGTGGCTGGCTGCTCTGCTTCTCTGACCTTCAGCACTAGCCCCTGTATCTGACTCTGGATGCTTATTATTAAGAACAATTAGAAACTGTGCTACCCCTGCCTGCTCCAGAAGGCTCCATCCATGTAGCTCCCAGATCCAGGTCACCTACCAACTGGGCTGCCTCAGTCCTGTCCCTGTTACCAGCTCTGTCCCACAAGTGGCCAAGACTCAATGGTACTTACGGAGGTGTTCGATGATGCTGTCGATGGTCGGCTTAAAAAGGGCATTCATGGCGTCCGGACTCATCCTCAGCATCCCCTGGGAGGACCACTTCACAAAGTCCACACTGGGAACAGTAGCAAGAAGAAAGGGCAATGAACGAGTGTACAGTGCCCAGACTGTTCTGCACGGATGTGTGGCCTGACAGTGTCTGTCCCATCATGACGACAAGGTATGTTAAAGTCAAAAGCATTCTTGGGAATCCACTCAACTGCCTGGACCTGGACCCTCGGAGACTTGAGAGCTAAGACATAACCTTGTCTGTTTCTCTCTGCTCTATCCCAGCACCAAACGTCCCCCCAGTATAATGGGGGTCAGTGTCTAGCACAAGAGACAGGGATAAGTAGAGGCCCTCTGTCTTTCATTTTGAAGGATGCTAGGATCTGCTTTGGTTTTGAGACAGGGTCTCACTGTGCAGCTATAGCTGACTTGGAACTCTCTATGTCGACCAGACTGGCCCCAAACAGAGAGTCTTCCGCCTCTGCCTCCCCTAGCGCTCAGATTACAGGTGTGCCCCACCACACCACTTCTTTAAAGAACGACCGGAAGGAAGAATCACCATTATTCTTTTTTCTGAAGTGACCAAGCCGCCGAGGTAAAATCTCTTTACGTGTGCTCCAGATATGCCAAACAGAAAGGGCAAGACAATGACATGGTAAGCGTGGATCCACCCCAGTGAAACGCGGGCACAGGCAGCGGTCATCAGTGGGCACTTACATCCCGGAAGGAGACACAAGCAGACTGTATGTGTCCCAGATGTGGTGTATTGGGAACTTGCAGCATCTGCAGAAGAACTGCCCAGGGTCGGCTTTCAGTGCCCTGACATGGGAGAAGAGGATTTGCAGAGCTCTGCTCCTCCCTGAGAATTATGGATAGTAATATTGCTTGGGGGGGGGGGGGGCGATGCTTTGCTTCCAGTGATATAGCGGCAAGGTGCCGGCGTTCCTGTAAATAAACTTTCACCAATGCTCCTGTGAAATTGGGACACATACACACATACACACACGCACACACACATACACACACACACAAACCACAGACACACACGCATACACCACAGACATACATACACCACAGACATACATACACCACATACACAACCACACACGCGCGCATTCACACACACACATACATGCATACACATACACTACAGACACACACATTCACACGCACACACACATGCACACATACACACACACACACAGACATGATACTGGAAGAGGATTGGTAGGAAAGAAGGGATCAATGGGATGGGGAAAAGAAGGAGATGACAGAAGTGTTGGCTAGTTTTAGTGTCAACTCGACAGAGGCTAGAGTCATTTTGAAAGATGGAATCTCAGTTGAGAAAATGTCCCATCAGATTAGCCTGAATTTTCTTAATTAGTGATTGGTATGGGAGGGCCCAGTCCACTGTAGGTGGTGTTACTCTTGTGATATCAGTAATTTTTAATATGGTCTTGTTATGTTGCCCAGGCTGGTCTTGAACTCAGGACACACCTGTTTCAGCCTCCATATTGCTGGGATTACAGGCATGTGTTACCAAGTATGGCTCAAAAGCAATTTTTAAAAAGATATCAGAAATTTAGGGGTTTTTTTCTATTAAAAATTATCAGCTTTAATCCAAACCGTCTATATGGGTTCATTTTACAACAAACTAAGCTGTAATTGCAGGCCAAGGCCTTGAAGAAGCAGGGAAACTAGATTCCCCCTGGGGTTCACTCACCTGGAACACATCAAGTCCTACTCTAGACACCGCTATAGCAGCTGCCTGTGGGGTGTGAATCAGAGCAGTCCCCATAGGCTCAGAGATTTGACTGCTTAGTCATGGCAAGTGGCACTATACAAAAAGTATTAGGAGGTGTGGCATTGTGGGAGGAAGTGTGTCACTGTGGGGTGGGCTTTGAAACTTCAAAAGTCCATGCCAGGCCCAGTGTCTCTCTGTCTCTCTCTGTCTCTCTCCTCTTTCTCCTCTCCTCTCCTCTCCCTTCCCCGCCCCTCCCCTCCACTCCCCCCCCCCTTTCCTCTCTCTTCTCAGTCAGTGAATCAGGATATAGCTAGCAGATAATTCTCCAGCACAATGTCTACCTGCATGCTGCCATGCTCCCTGCCATGATCATAACGAACTAAACCTCTGAAACTGTAAGCCAGCCCCCAATTAAATGTTTTCCTTTATAAGGGTTGCCTTGATCATGATGTCTTATCACAGTAATAGAACAGTGACTAAGACATCACCCAAACAAAATGTCCCATTTTCATAAAGCTATTATTTTCTCAGGGAACACACCAGCGGACACGTAGACCACACTTTCTGTGACCTGGGTATTACCAGACAGGAATTCATGCTACTCCCATAGCAACCTTTGAGATAACAAGAATCATTGTCCCCATTTTCCATAGTAAAATTTAGATTGAGGCATGGCTAAATTGAGTCACTTGCTCAAGAGCACACCATGCATAGAGTCAGAACCCACGGTCCACGCCCGATCTCTCTGTCCTATCAATGCTGCCCACCCCCACACTCTCTGTAGCTTAAGGTGAGCCAGCTTACTTGCTCTTCCTCAAGGCATGCTCCACGCTGTGCCCCCGGAACTTCTTGTAGTAGTCGATGAAGGAGAAGGGCAGAGTGATGTTCAGGGGATTCGTCCGGTCTGGCGCAGCGGCTCTTTTGCGAGACTCAAAGGCGATCATTAGGTCAACCCAAGCCGCTGGGCGCTTGATCTTGAACTGTTCGATAAAGTCCTCTCCAAATATTTTACAAAGCAGCTTTTCAAATTCATAATCTACTCCCAGAGATCCATAGGGTCCGCCTGAGAAGAAAAGAAAACGGAACCCACGGTGTTAGAAAACCAAATGCTGAGATCCAGGCCTCCCTGTGTTCTCTGGGGCCCGGTACACTGGGGCCCACTTGGCACACAGATAGCAGTAACCATCCCCACTCACACCTCAACACCCTTTGGCTCTTATTCTGTGGATTTCCCCCTGCAGCAATCTAACAGTCTGTTTCGATCTATTTCATTATTAAATCAATACAGATAACTTCAAAAATCACAATCTTCCATCTGAGAAAGCCCATAGGTGAGGTCTGGAAAACCAGCAGGACTTAGTTAGACCCATGCAGTCTGTCGATGATATCACCTCATCTGTCGATGACATCACCTCATCTGTGGATGATATCACCTCATCTGTGAATGATATCACCTCATCTGTGAATGATATCATTTCATCTGTCAATGACATCACCTCATCTGTGATGACATCACCTCATCTGTCAATGACATCACCTCATCTGTCGATGACATCACCTCATCTGTCGATGACATCACCTCATCTGTGGATGACATCACCTCATCTGTGAATGACATCACTTCATCTGTGAATGACATCACCTCATCTGTCAATGACATCACCTCATCTGTGGATGACATCACCTCATCTGTCAACGACATCACCTCATCTGTGGATGACATCACCTCATCTGTGAATGACATCACTTCATCTGTCAATGACATCACCTCATCTGTGGATGACATCACCTCATCTGTGGATGACATCACCTCATCTGTGAATGACATCACTTCATCTGTCAATGACATCACCTCATCTGTCAATGACATCACCTCATCTGTCAATGACATCAACTCATCTGTCGATGACATCGCCTCGGAAGACTTCCCCTCCCAAATGGAAAGGTATGTTCCTTATTTTGGTGATCTTGATCTAGGTGTAGAACTCTGGCCTTGGATTTCAATCAGAGGTGGTAACAAGCTACAGGTGAATCCTGGTAAAACTTCAGTAACAGCCAGTTTGGCAGTTTGCTGCCCAAACTCAAGGGGTGATTTGTCTTTGAAAGAACACTTAGTAGACCTTGCTTTCCAACTGTAACCACCACCCAGTCTGATTTGAAATGAGTGAACAAGAAACGGCTGGAGGCCGGGGAAGCTAACCAGCCAGGCAGTACTCACCTGTTGCTTTGTACAGCTCCTTAAGGTGCCCCTCTGGTAGGCGTATCTGATGGACTGTCAGGTCTACAGTGCCTCCACCGCTGTCGACAACCACGTACTTGTCACCTGGCATAAAAGACAGCAATCTGTAAGACACACCACGTATCTGTTCCTGCTCCGACACGCCGGTGAATGAGAACTTGGACTCATTACTCACATCAGCACTGCCAAGAGCACAGTGGTTTTTGTTAATTAGTAGCATAGCAAGTTACTCAGTAACTAAGAGAATGCAATCATGCCTGTCCGAGAGGGCGGGCTAAGCATGGATGAAGAAGAAGCAGGCGAGAGACTCTAGAAGACCGAGGCTTTCAGGTCACATAGGGCTGTGTCCCCGCCCCAGCCCGTGACATGCTCTCCAACACAACTCCCTCCAGAACTGGGGAGCCTTTTCTTCCTCGGGAAGAGTATCTGCATGGTTTTCTGACATGCGGAACTCCGGCTCCCAGAAGGGTGGTCCCTGAGTGAGTGGCTTTTAAAGCCCCTGCCACTGAGTATCTCCCCAAAGTGCAAATGTGATAAATAGGATCGCATTTTTGCAGGCAGTGAAAATAGATGATAAGTAGGGGCAAAAGACATCCTGATGCAATACCTTCCTCCAGCTCAGACCAGATCTCTCCTATGACATTCTCCACCAGGAAGGTCCGACTCTGCCGGTTACGCCGAACGTGTTCCTTAGCTGGCGGCCGACAGGAAGAAAAGGGTCAGCATGAGAGAGCATGAAAAAGAGACGCTTGTCTGCAGTTGCTGGAGACACCAGCATGGTGGGCTCGAGGACGGAGCATTTACTGACACTGGACCAACAGGATTAATAAGCACACATCAAAAACCAGAAAGCCAGTTCCTCCGAGGGAAGAAGCCCTCATCTTTGGCCTATGCCCAGCTGTAAGGCCTGCCCTGAGGAGATTCTTGGCCGTGGCGACCGTCTTCTGGGGAGTGGGCTAATGAAACGGGCCAGTTTCCCAGCAGCCCACAGTGCACTAAGTGGGCTTAAACCTTTTCGCATCATGGAGCTTTGGAATGCCGGAAATTTTTGCTCATAGGAATCTCTGTCCTGCAGCTTTTGAAGACACTGTACAATTGTGCCACATGGGGGCGCTTCAGCCACAAGGTAGCATCTGAATCTAGGGAATCCCAGCTCTTATCACCAGGATACCCAGGGGATGCCTCTGCTTGTGCACTGGGTGGCTGGAATGCCTTTGGGTCAGACAGGGCACGAATAACCATCCTGGGCTTGGCTGAGAAGGGTGAGGTCATGGGACTGGGAAATCCCCAGATTTCTTGTCTGGCAATATGAATTCTTAGACCAGAGGCCCCCAGGGCTTTGGAGATCTAACAATCCCCAAGCTTGGAAAAGCAGAAGAATGGGCCAAGAAAGGTACTGAGAAAGGATACGTGGGAAGCAGCAGGCCACAGCCAAGTGGGCTTTAGGGCCAATCACTTATCCCTTTCGGTCCTCAGTTTTCTCATCTATAAAATGGGGATATCACTAGCTGGTCTAGGTTTCTCAGGGGCTTCCCGAATACACCCTGCTCGTCTACTGCACACCTGGAGTGGCTGCCTGCACACAGTAGGTGATAAGAAAGGCAGAGCACCTACTATGAGACCTGGTGGCCACAGAATGACAACCGTGACAAATGATTTCCTAGAGCAGCTCTGGGGTGACAGAGGAAGGCTCTCCTGCCTCACCTCCCTCCCTCCCCACCATTCTGTCCTTTACATCCCTAAGCTACCCTGCTCCTTCTGAAACGCCATCGGATGCCACCATGCTGATTATCTGACCACACCCAGGAGCAGTGTCTGCAAATCCAGCTTCGCTAGGGGGTAGATCAGCAAACGCCCAGCTGGCTGCAAGTTCTTCAGAGCCTGGGTTAGAGTGGTCAGAGGGGCACCCTAGGAGGGGCCCCCAAACTTGGGCTCCACGTGAGCTACATTAGGCCAGAGGTATGGCTCAATGGTAGAGCACGTGCCTTGCATGCGAGCAGGTCTGAGTTGAATCCCAGGCATGGCAAGAGCCAAACAAGAAACAATGTCTCAGGCCTTGCAGCAGGGATCCAGTTTGCTAAACAATTAAGATGTCCACAAAATGGAATTCATAAAAAATATCCGAGAGAAGGCGACAAAACATCTTTCCAGTTCTCAAAGAACCATCCCAGTTTTTCAGGTAGATTAAGCCCAAGATTGGACAAATGTATCTTTTATGAATCCCATTAAAACCCATCAGGAGTAAAATAATGTTCCCTGCAAACCCTGAGTAGTGGATGCTGAATGCCGGCCAGTCCCTTCCCTCTCCTGGACCTGTGCTCACAGGGACCCACGAGCCTGTCTGATGTCCCCTGGGGTCCCTGGAGCTCCCCACCCCTGGGAGAGCCAGGCTGACACCTAGAGCCCTGCCAAGGCTTGCAGGTCATCAATGAGGGCTCCAGACACCAAGCCCCCTCCCCACCCCTGCCGTGAGTGCACACAAAGCCACAGGACAGATATGACAGAACGGCAGTGGGGAGACATGACAGAGTAGAGGAAAGGAAACCCAAAGACGGACCCTGAGGAAGGATCTCAGCAGGCGCCTCCTGAAAACCAAGAGCCAGTCTTAAACCATATGTAAAAGCTGTGCCAAAATCAATAGACCCTGCTATGAATCTCTGTTTTTGAACTGAGAATTAGCCTGTAAGACACAGGCTTTGTGTTCTTTCCAATGAGACAATGGAGAGAGATGCGCCTTTGTGCATTTGAAATGATAAAGCAACCGAGTTCCTTGGAGGAAAGGCTGGCCTTGGCAGCCCTTGGCAAGGTCAGGATGGCCACCAATCAGGTTAAGGACTAACCCAACCCTTGGGCATACCCCTCCCCTTACCCTAAACTTCTCCAGCCTAGGGGTTGGTTGGGCTGCCCTTCCCTATATAATCCAACCATTTTGGTTGCTACCGTTTTTTTGTTTTGTTTTTGTTTTTTTTTTGTTTTTTTTTTTTTGTTTTTTTTTTTTTTTTGCACCTTTGGGCCTCCTGGTTGCTGCACCTGTTTTCCCCTCCCCCTCTCCCCACAGGGCACAGCTCAGTCTGGTCGGTCCACTCTGGACTCCCCCAGATGTCTCCGCCCCTGCCTCTAGCTAGCTATGCTCTCCCTTTTATCTCCGGTTAACCTTCTCCTTCACCATGCCTAGGAGCAGTTGTGTTCCTTTCAATGTTCCCTTCCCATTAATTTTTTAATTAAGATCTAAATTTAGGTCAGGCAATCCTCACTAATGTCCTTTCTAACCTCTTCCCGGGCCTGGGCCCTTCCAGGGCCACTTGGGTGTGAACATGGGTAGAGGGTGCATTCTGCCCACCTGGGAACTCAGCAGAACTCAGAGCTGGGCGTACAGCATCTCCCAACACATACAGTGTGCCAGGTTAGTAGCCAAGCTTTCAATGGTGCTTTCACCATGACCTCATCTCTCTAAAACCTGGAGCCCTGGAGAGGCCACAATGCCTAGACCTGTGGAGCACACAGTTCTGGGGACAAAGACAGTCTGTTTATACGGGTAACTACTTAAGGGGAAAGCCCTTGAAATGCCCAGGTTGGGTCAGGCTGAGCAAGGGCTCCTTCCCACAGGGTCGGGACAAATCAGCCACTTTCTCAGCTATGGCACCTAAGGAGCTCCAAGCACCCCGAGCAACCCAGTGAGTAAGACAGCAATTAGCCAACAGTCTCAACGGAGGAATTAACACAGGCACATTGAGTTAGACTAAGTCGGTGAAAGACAGTCTCAGATCCTAGGAAAATGCAAGGCTCAGAAAGGCTCTCAGGTCGTCCCTGGGTTCTCGGAGAGATGCCCCTAACGGGTGGGTGATAAGCCGGGGTAACCAATGCTTAGCTTATGGGGAATCCTCTAGGGACCACGTAGGAACACCAAGCAAAGAGGGACTTACTCCACCTTCCCCATGGAGTATCCTGACCCTGGCAGCCTGGGCTTGGGAAGGGCGAGCGGAGGGAGGGAGAGAGAGAACAGAGGTACCCTGTGTGAACCCCGCTCCTACTGTGTCACTGGAGCTGCACCCATTGACCACCGCCTTGCCGCTGAGCTCGATCATCTGGTGCAGCCGCAGCTTCCGGCAGTAGATGGAGGCGGCCTCGGGCTCTAGGGCGATGATGAGCTGCTCCGAGTTCTCGGGGGAGGCCAGGCCTGCCTGGAAGAGAGAGAGAGAGGCTGGAAGTGGGGTTCCCGGGGCAGGCCTGCTCAGAGGACACCACATCCAAGGAAGGAACGGAGCCATAAACTTAGCTTGTGTAGGGAGACATCCCCTCCACAGCCTCTGCAGGATTTGATACTGGGGGTGGCCAGGCATTGACCCCTCAAACTTCTCTGAGTATGCAAAGGGATCCTGGAAAAGGCAGGGCGCTCTGGCAACAGGGCCTCCGTCCCTGGGGACTGTGGACGGTGGGTAATGATGAGGTTAACATGCAAGCGGTTGGGGAACAGACTTGCAAAGGCTCCGGCACTTTGAAACTCATCGCAGATAGAAGGCGGGTGGATCCATTCCCTGTGACAGTGGGTCACACACCTCCTGACAGGCTGTGCAGATCCTGATCTTGGTGAACAAGGCCTAGGCAAGCACTCGGGGGGCTCCTGTCACTTGCCTGCTGGGTGACATATGAGCAGTGGCTCCCAGAGGAAGCCTCCATGAAGTCCTTAATTTCCTGGAGTGAGGGTGGGCAGTCAGCTGACAGATGTTTTAACTAACGCCATTATTCTTTCAATAAAATTTACCGTATAATAGTTTTATTTTTGAGGTGGAGTTTCACGGATCCCAGGCTGATCTCAACCTTGCTGTGCATTAGGAATGGCCATGACTGTCTAATCTTTCTGTGTCTACCTCGTGAGCGCTGCTCTGGGACTATTACAAGTGTGTGTCACCACGACTGTTTTATGCGATGCTAGTGACTGAAGTTGGGTGCTCACGTGTGTGAGACAAACACGTCACCAACTGAGTCCACCCCAGCTCCTACATATTCTTAATATTACAACGATTACGCCCCCAGGTTCCCATCTGCAACTTTATCTGTTAATATCTGGGATCTCTCCTGGCTGGCAAGAGGCAGAAGTGCTGCTGTTCCATGGCATGTGACCTGTCCCAGACCCTGGAGGTCCCAAGACCACCCTAGTGTGCACACTCAGAGAATGAACTTGTAACCGGGTCCTTGGGTACCCCCAGAGCCCTGGGCCAGAGCAGGAGGTCTTCTTACAGAGGCTGTGTGTGGCACACAGGGCTTTCTTAACCACAAGCAGTGCAATCATTCCTGTCACCGTGGGGGGCTGCTTTTCTGCTGTTTCCAAGGACGTCTGGAGACTGGTCTCCTAGCCACACCCACTTGGAGGAAGTCCCCCCACTCCCACTGCCACTCTACACCAGAAATTCAGCAGACAGAAAGGTCTCCTAATGACACAACTCACAAGAAGAGCAGCTAGGAGCCAAGGGCAGAGGGGCTTAGGAGGCTCCATCAGTAAGCCAGGAGGAGAGGAGGAGGCTCAGGTTACATGCTGGAAACCCAAGGGAGCCCTAGAGCCTTTTGTGTAACTCTTTCACTAAAGGTAATGTCTCTATTGCTGCGACAAGACGCCATGGCTGTCTTAGTTACAGGGCTGCCTCTGCTGTGATGGAAACACCATAACCAAAGCTACTTGGGGAGGAAAGGGTTTAATTGGCTTCCACTTCCACATCACAATTCATCATCAAAGGAAGCCAGGACAGGAGCTCAAATGCAGAAACCTGGAGGCAAAAGCTGATGCAGCAGAGGCCATGGAGGGGTGTTGCTTGATCTCTTGACTGGCTCAACATGCTTTCTTATGGAACCCAGGGCCACCAGCCCAGGGGTGGCACCTCCCACAACGGGCCTTTCCCCATCAATTAAGAAAATGCCCTCAGGTTTGCCTATAGCCTACACTTACTGAGGCATTTTCTCAAGTGAGGCTCCCTCTTCTCCTGTGACTCCTGCTTGTGACAAGTTGACATAAAGCTAGCCAGCACCATGACCAAGGCAGCTCATATTTAGAAAGAGTTTATTTTGGCTTATGGGTCCAGAGAGTTAGAGTTAACAACAGGAGAGCAAAGGAATAGTGGAAGAGGACAGCTTACATCTTGAACCACAAGCTCGAAACAGAGAGGACACACTGGAAATGACTCTAGGTCTTTTAACGGCAAAGGCCACCCACAGTAACATACTCCTTCCATCAAGGCCACACCTCCTAAACCTCAAAGAGTGCCATGATTGGGGACCAAGTGTTTAAACGCCCAGGACTATGAGGAACATTTAACATTCAAACCACCACAAACAGGAAGACTCCAAGACCCCAAGAGAGGGTGACCAGCTACTTTAGTTTGTCTAGGAGAGGAAGCATCCCATGGAACATGGGGCTTGTAGAGATAAACACAGTTGAGTCTTATTCACAGGTATCCAATGTCAGCCCAGGTGAGAACTTGAGTCCCTCAAACCAGACTCCTTAGATCACACCGACCGTTCATACCAACCGTCCAGCCTGGAGTGACCTAACATTACAGGGGAGAGGACTGGGCCAACCTTTTGACAAAGTTCCATTGTCCATTGGTTTTAGGCACCATCTCTTCACCTGCTGGGTGAAGTATCAGACAATGCATTGCCCACAGTTCTCTATGGAAATCACACTCCAAATAAATGTCACTAATAACATCTGAAATAGAGGCTACCAACCAGGTAGGATGATAGGCTTCACTCTATACATGCCATGTGCCTCTCTAATAATATTTTAGTAGCAGAAACACTTCAGGATTGGTTCCCAAATCCATACCTATGCTCTGCGCCAGTCACAGGGTATTTCTTCCCCACTGCCTAGCATCCCCAGCCACGGCCAACCACGTAGGTAACAATAGTATTCATTGTTCTGGTTCATGGGGCAAATGGGTTGGGCTGCCACCACTTACTTGGCACGTGAAAGATTTTCCCCTGCTCCCTGTCAAGCAATTACAAGTACTCCTGCCCCAGCTATTCCTCCCCAGATCAGATCGTACATCCCTGCTCCCTGTCAAGCAATTACAAGTGCTCCTGCCCCAGCTATTCCTCCCCAGATCAGACCATACATCCCCAGCACACAGACAGATGAAATTAAGATGGCGTCAGACACATGAAGTGCCACAGGAATGGCAAATCTGCTGCCCCAGCTATTCCTCCCCAGATCAGATCGTACATCCCTGCTCCCTGGGGTCCCCAGAAGCAGAAATCCAAAGCAAGGCAGAGCAAAACAGCCCTCCTAAAGGACAACTTGTGTGCTAAACAATCCTCTTCTGGGACTCCTTGGAGAACAGATGCCCAGAGGCAGCTTCTCCAGCAAGGGGTGAAAGATAAGGAAACACTCAGTGTGTAGACTTCCTGGGACTCTGGACTTCATAGCTTCTTGGTTTCAGAAGTGAAACCAAGGTAATAGGACCGAACCCTGGGATGGAGCCCAGGGACCAAGAAGAGTCAGGCAAACACCTTCCAGACTTTAAGGACACAAAACTATTCCCATGTCCCACTGGGTTGTCAACCTGCCAGCTGGAATTTGCCTCAGCTAGAATGTCAATGGGCCTGGACCATGGCCAGGAGGTACAGAGATGGGAAGGGAGAAATATCTGCACACAAGGCCTCATTTGTCCACTGACTATGACCCTGACATCCTAACCAGGACCTCTGACTCAGATGGAAAATCTTTTGTGTGTATATGTGGTATGTGCATGTATATGCATGCCTGTGTACCCTGTGTGTGCAATACACAGAGGCAAGAGGTCATCATCGGTGTCTTCCTCTGTGGGTTTCCACCTCTTCTTTTTGAGACAGACTCTCTCAGTAAACCTGGAGTTTACCATTACACATAGGCTGGCTGGCTAGGAAGCTCCAGGGATTCCCCTGCCTCCATCCCCTCCCTAGTACTGGGGCATATATAGGCATATGCTGCCATGCCTGGATTTTACAATGGCTCTGGGGAATTCAGACTTATGTCTTTATGCTTACACAATATGCACCTTACCTCCTAAGCCAAATCCTCAACCCCAGGAAATCTTTATATGGAAAATCCAGTCAAGAGCATGAGTCCTGCCTAAGATGATACAGCTGGGGTGGGGGGAGTGTACATTGGTTATTGTGTAACTGGGTATTAGTAAGATGGTCCTGTCCTCGAGGAAGTTCTCAAAGCCTAAAACAACCTAGGGCCTAGGCAGATGGGTGCACAGTTAAGAGCACTTGCTGCTCTTGCAGGGGACCCACAGCCGCTCTCAACCACCTGGAACTGCACCCCCCCCCCCAGAGGATCATATGTCTCGTTCTGGTGCCCATGGGCACAGACCCACACATATACACACAATTAAAAAGTCTTCTTAAAAATCAGACGTAGGCCAGGTATGGTGGTGTACACCTTTAATCCTAGCACTAGGGAGGAAGAGGCAGGGGGACCTCTGAATTTGAAGCTAGCCTGGGCCACACAGGAAGTTCTAGGACATTCAAGGCTACATAACAGAGAGACTCTGTCTCAAAAAACAAACAAACAAACAAACAAAAAACAAAAAAATAACAACAACAAAAGACATACCCAGGCAGGTGGATTCTGTCCTAAACAGCAGAGGCCTTGTCCTCATAAAGGGGCTAGCTTTGGTTCCACAGCAATATCTGTGACCCATTTCCACAGGGTCTTCTTCTTTATTTTGAGAAGATGCAGAGAAAAGATAGAGGTGAAGGTGTGGCCCCCACTCCAGAAAGGAGGCAGCAACACAGAGGCAGAGCCTGGGCAGTGTCTGTCAGGTAAGCAGCGGTGGCTGAATGAGGACTGTCCCCTGCAGGCTCGTGTGCTCGAAAATTTCATCCTCACTGGGAGATGCTGTTTGAGAAAGCCGTGGAGTCTTTGGGAGGTAGAACCTTGGTGGAGGAACTGGGTCACCAGAAGCGGGTTTTGGGTGTTTAGAGCTGCAGGAAGTGTGTCACTGAGGTGGGTTCCAGGTGTTCAGAGCTTCGCTCTTCTTCCAGTTTTGTCTTGCTGACTGTGTTTGCAGCTGAGGATGTGCCACCTCAGCTTCCGGGTCCTGAACTCATGCCTCTGCCTACTGCCAGGCCTCCCCACTGTGATGGCACTCATCCCTCCAGATCAGTGAACTGAAACAAACTTTCTTCCATCTATAAGTTGCTT